CCCCCCCTCCCCCCCCTCCCCCCCTGCGCTTTTTGTCCTTCCTTTTCCTTGTTCTTTGACCGCAGGCAGCATGTCCGGGAGCGCCTCGCCGCGTTGACCATGTGGCTGACAGTGAAGACCGAGCCGTCGAATTCCGGTGGCACGGCCTCTGCAACGGCCCAGGCCCGTCCCTCTCCGTCCTCCCCAGCCTCGGCGCGCGCATCCTTAGAGACCCCACCGGCATCTCCCACATCGGACCCGGAGGGGCTTTGGCAGGATCTTTGGGAATCCATCAGCGCCAGTGGCTTCCGAGATGAGCGCAGTGCCATGTCCCATGCATGTGAAATGTGGCGGCGTCCTTCAAAGAAGAGCTTTTGGTCCAGATTCGCCCGAGCTGGCCCCTCTCAGGCACAGCATAGGGACTGGGAGAGAGTGAGCATGGCTGTGCGTGCTGGAGTCCCGCAAGCCTTGCGATGCGCTGTTTGGACCACCTGCAGCGGTGCTATCGGGAAGAAGACCAAAGTGGCTTCCGAGCTGGGCCAAGAAGCGGACGTGCTGTATCCGTCGTTCGTATCGCAAGGTTTGAGCTTGCGAAACGAAGCTTCGGGTGTCATCGATGTCGACGTCCCACGGACAGGCTGTGTAGAAGCATTGCTGGAACCCTTGCGCCGGGTTTTGCTGGCCTTTGCCGCAAAGAACCCCCAAATAGGGTACTGCCAGTCCATGAACTTCATTGTGGCAACCCTTCTCGAGTGCTGCGACGAGGAGAGCACCTTTTGGATTCTCTGCAGCCTTGTGGAGGACATGCTCCCGGAGAATTATTACACGCGGAACATGATTGGTGTTCGTGTTGATATGATGGTGCTCAACTCCTTGGTGATGCGCCACCTCCCAACTCTGCACGCGCACTTCGTTGAGCATGAAGTCGACCTTTCGCCCTTCACAATGGGCTGGTTCCTGTGTTTGTATGTGAACACATTACCGAATCCCAGCCTGCACCGGGTGCTCGATTGTCTACTCCACGAGGGCTCGAAGGTCCTCTTCCGAACTGCCCTTGCCATCCTTCATGGCTTGGAACCTTTCTTACTGAATGCAAAAAGCTTGACAAAAGTCTACGAGCTCTTGCGAAGCCCATCGTGCCCAGAGGCGGAGCTGCTAAACACCATGTACGGATCCTGGCTGAACTGTCTCTCTATGGATTCCGTGGTTGACCTTCGGAGCCAGCACCTGAAGGACGTTCTCGAGCAGGCGGGCCGGGGCTCTCAAGAGTTTTTCGGCCTTCGGCCCCTTCCTCCCCCTTTTAACCCACGAGGACGCCACGGTGGAGGCCCGGCGCGCGGAGCTGCGAGCCCGCCGCGAGATCGATCTCGGCCCAGACCCAGGCCGGTCAAGGGAATTCGCGTGATTTCGCCTCCTTTGACCCACGAGAGCCTGTACTGTTCAGGTCCGGTGGATCCGATGGATACTGGTAGCCGTGAATCCTTGTCACCCTTGAGAAACTTAGAAAGTTTCTTAAAAGTCGCCGACAGAGAACACAGTGATGCTGAAACAGAGTGAAAAAAGATGGACAAGGTCTCGCGCTCGGCATCTGCCGGCCTTTTGCTACTCTGACTGAGTGCAAACGTAGAGATTCAATTTGAATCTGACCGTGAATGATGCGTGGTGCGTCTGTCGTCTCGATCTTCTGGCCTTCGCAGTCTCGTACCGAGGTTGCCCGCGCGGCTTACGACGTTTCCGACTGGAAGCCAGCCGCATGTAGCAAGCAAGTAGAAGTCCTTCTGCTTTTATTCTGAATGAATGCTGGATCAAAAGAAAGCTGCTTGGATCGCTTGTGCTCCAGAGTCCTGTCTGCCTGCTTTGCGACAGAAGCAGCCTGGAGCAACGTTGCGAGAAAAGCCATTTTTTCGAATTCCATCTCCAATGCGTCAGTCTCGGCTTTGAAACTGGCCTGCGACATACGCCCTCGCAGCCGGTACTTTTGCGAGGTGGCTTGTGATAGGGCTTTCGTTCTTTCGGCTTCATCTGGAAATGTCGAAGTCCAGGTTCCCGAACATGGCTCCAGCGGCACGCGGCAGAGAACGTGGCCAGTTTGCCAAGGCTGTGCTGCGGCGGAATTTGTTTCAATTCAGTGCGATGCGGTGTGTCGAACTTCTCAGGGCTTCCTTGCCACCCTGCTGGTTGCGGCCCTGTGGGCCGCGAGCAGTGCAGTCTCAGGCGCTGTGACAGCAGAGTCTAGAAGCTTCCGACAAATCGACTGCGTCACAGCAACGTCTGCCTGCATTGAAGGTGCCGTTACCTTTGTGACTGGTGCAGTTCGGAGTACACCTGATGCTCGCAGCCTTGTCGCTCGAGAGGGTGGCGCCGTCCTTGGCAAACTTGCGCTTGGGTTCGCCTCAGGACGCCTGCAGTGCTGGAGATTTGAGGTCGCGACTGGCATGCGGGCAACGTGATGAAGAAGATTGATTTCAAGTGCTGCCCTCAGCGCCGAGAGCAGCAAGTCAGGCCTGGTGATGGGCTTCTGGACGCTGTAACATGGTTGCAGGGCAGCAGCAGCGCAAGCTCAAGCGCGCAAGAAGAAGAAGGCAGAGAAGGGCCGAGACCCTAACCGGCTGTGAGAGCAGAAAGATTCTCTTTCCGCTTCGGAGAGTGCTTGCTTTAGGTGATGGAAAGAAGGAGGTCATCGAGCGACCCAAGCGCTTCGAGTCCAGCCACTGCCTCGGGGCATTGCCTCGGCATGTCTTGAGAGATGGGAATTCTCTCCGTGAGAAGCAGCAGGCCCGGTCTATTACAAGGGAGAGCAGGCGCTGCGAGAGCTGCTCTGCGAGCTGGGACGTCTCGCGAAGAGCCTGTCAGGTCGCCACGCTCAACGGCACGATGTCGGAGTTCAAGGCTGGCAGTGCAAGCGGAAGAGAGGCGGCGCAGTCGCTCACAACTTGCACCCAGAGGTCGACATCTGGAGTGGTGCTCATCCCGCGTGGCAGGGCAAGAAGGGCAAGGACCTTCTGGCTTTTTGCTGCATGACACAGCCAAGTGTAGGGACCTGCCAAAGTTAGGTCGGTAAAGTACAGCGGTCGGAGGTGGTAGGGTCTGGCCAGGTTCTGCTGGACAACTCTGCCCTCACGAAGTCCGGATCTCGCCTTGTTTCGCATTGGCTAGCTTAGAATTGACCCCCCCTTTGAGAAGTGACCACATGTTGTCCGATACGGAGGTTCCAGGAAAAGTTCGGAATGGCGGCAGATGTCTATGGTGAGCAAGGAATGGAGCAGGTGAAGGCTGAGTGCTCAGAGAAGTTGCGGCAAAATCCGCTTCGCTGTTGAACTGAGCTTCGGCAGGCAAACGAGGAGCTGAAGAAGCAGCAGGAGGATGCAGCCTCGTTGCTTGCTCTCTGTGGCGCAGAGAGTCTCCATGTCAACTTGCAAGCTTCAGTGTTCTGCGCAGTGCAGTGTGCTGAACAGGAGATGGCAGCTCAAGGTCTGAAGGTATACTAATCCATGAGCCTCAAAGTGCCGGAGGCCTTTGAAATGCATGTAGATCTTGGTACAAAGAGGATGCTTCCAGACACGGCAATCGATGCCAACACCCTACGCAGCCCTGCACCGATTTTCAAGCGGATCTGGTTATCGGCTTCTCGGACTTGGAAAGTGCTCGTGTAGCTTCGGAAGCTGAAGATGCGCACGCGGGGAAGCTTGCCACGAGGCCTTCAACAGCTGGCCACACCGCCTGGCTCAAGCGGTGCAAGCTGCAAGAGCCAAAAGCAAGCAGAGAGCGAAACATGCCTGTCGCGGCCGGCTCGACTTCCTTCTACGATGCCGTAAAGCCACACCATGTCAAAGCATAGTGCCTTGCCGGCTTTTCAACATCCGAGCCTGGGTTGACCTGTGTGGATGGCCAAGAAGGGTGGCCCACATGGCAAAAGGGGCAAGGCCGCACGCTCAACAGGGCCGACAGCACAATCTGTTCGCACCTTTCGCCTGCACCTAGGGCGGCGCGACAGGAAGAGGCAGGGATTGCCGGAGCAAGTGCCCAGCCGCCCAGCCCTGCCCAGCAATGCCCAGCCATGCCCTGCCCAAGGCAAGTCCTCAAGGGTCAAGCAGAAGAACAAGAGCTCTCAGTCGAAGAAAGGAAAGCAGAGGCGAGGGGCCGCTGGCCGCTTTCGCTTACCTGGCTCCGGAGCTCCTTGTGCAGGAATGGTTTGAAGAGCGCAAAAGGATCCGGTAAGGGCAAATCCAAGGCTACGAAAGGGGAGCGAGATGTGAAGGCTCTGCAAGCTCTCTGCCAGAGTGGGAAGCTAGCGATGTGGCTCTGCAATGGCAGGCAGAGCAGAGAGGAGTCAAGCGAAAAGCAGTAGACGAGCAGAACGAAGAGCAGAAGCAGGCAGTTTGCTGAAACTGATGTGAAGCAGCTCATGTGTAGGTGTGCTTGCGAAGAGTCCAGGGCAAGAAGGCGCTGACGCCGAAGAAAAAGCGGAAGCTAGAGGTCACCAAGCTGTATGGTGTAGCACCCAGTCGCCTCGCCTGGGCACAAGCGTAAAGCCCATGCTTGCATTGGCCTCGAGGCGAGTTGATCAATCCGGGGAGGACTCAGCCCATCTCAGCCCCGCCATGTGCAATTTGATCATTGGGACCGGCCAGGACGAGGAAGGCTGACGTCATCGTCAACGACATTCTTGAGATTCTTAGGAAACGTTCATCACTCAGGTTACGTTTGCCTATACGGTGAACAGCGTGTTTACGGCTCCAAGGCACTTCGAACAAGCTGGCTGACTACTGTTCTACAAATGTTGGCGCCCGTGTCATCGAGGCCACGGGAACCCTGGACGGCAGCTGACCCGCCTGCAAATCTTGCCAGGCATGCCTGAAATGGGGAAGCAAGCCGCAGAGGCAAGGAACAACACCGGAGCTTCCATGCGCCGACTTCGCGGGGGCTTAACAGTTAACATATGTTAACACTGCAAAGGAAGCTCCGTCATGGCAGGCGAGAGCTGCTCTCGCACTTCAAGGAGAGCCTCCCGAAGATGGCACAAGACCGCTACGGGCATCAGGCGCCTACGCGGAAGCGGAAGCGCTTCCGTGCTCCGTCCTGAGCCATCGCGGAACGAGCTCTTTCTCTTGCGTGCAGGTTGTCCTAAAGTTGCTGCTTTACTCCTCCAAGACCTCTACATCAAGGAAGCCTACCGAAGAGGAGAGGAAGGCCAGGACGTTCGCCACATGGACACGGCAATCCCTCAAACTGCAGGCCCAGCTGAAAAATCTGAGGGAGATCTTGGATCAATTCACCGGCATCTCGGCAGGACCGTATCACATAGGACCGTGCATACTTGCTTGTGCAAGCCTTGCTGCGCCACCTGAGGCAAGAACCTGCATGCCACCTTCTATCATCGCTTCGGCTGTAAGGTTATCAATGGCTCAGCCCTGAGGCGTCTCTCCAGTCGATGGGAGCGAACTGTTGCCCACATTTGGCCAGCTGCGCCTCTCTCTCAAGGCATTTACTTCTCCACGGCCGCCCGACGCCTCGGAAGGCCTTACTGTTGAATTCGCCTTCGCGTGTTTTGGCGCTGAGGTCAGAGCCGCAGACAAGCGGAGGATACTTCACAGCATAGCCATTCCACAGGCGCCTGTGGCTTTGTTTTATGCAGTCTCCGTAGCCCCAATTTCCTTCGAGTGCTTCTGCGAAGGCAGTGGCATTGCTGCGGCCCGAGCTGCCAAGCAGCAAGCCGTTGCGGCAGTTGCTCCATGCGGAGGCGACTGGTTGCGGAGCATCTTCAGACTGCAAGCCTAGTACATGCGACATTGCGAAATCTGAATTGATAATTCCATGGAGGATCAGTGTCGTCTTGTTAGAACTTCCTACTGTATAGCTTCTGCGCTGGTTTCTGAGTTTCTAGGCAACCGTCTTCCGGCTTTAGTGGGTGTGTTGGTGTGTCTGATAGTGAGCTCTGGCTTGGTATTGGAGTCTACCTTGCTTCCAGCACCTAGGAGAGAATTCGGCACGCACGAAGTGGTTTTCAAGATTCCTATCTGCTGAGAGTGCATATGTGAGCGAAGAGGCCTTCGTCGTGAAGGGTGACTTCCGCTGTTTGTTCACATCTGTGTAGATTACAGTGTGATGACAAGTCAGCGGCATTCCAACCCTCTGCCAGGATCTCACAGAGCAACACAGGAGAGACATCGCACAGCATCTCGAAGAAGCCGTCGAGAAGGCTGTCGAGAAGGACACTTCCGGATTTCTAGTCTGGTTGCAGGATGTCCAAATCGCTCCGAGCAGGAGCTTCTCGGCTACGACATTGTGCACCTGCTCTTTCAGGTCAGTGAGAGATGGGGACAATCGATGAAAATCGTGGGGCCTCTCTGAAAAAATGGACCCAGGCGGTGTGCGAGGTCGCCTCCGATTCCCAGTTGACGCAGCTGGCGGAGCAGTGCATGGTGGCTTCCAGAGCTTCCTGCGGCACTCTGAAGGGAAACGTGCGTCTCCTGGCAGGATGGCGCTGCGTACCTACTTTCCTCTAAGCCTGGTGCAGAGGTGCCGCCCTGGTATCATCTCAGTGCCACTTTGGGCGCTCATTCTTGGGCAGGCTTTGTTGAGACTCCTCGGTGTGGCGAATGCCAAGCAAAGAAAGGCCAGTCCACCCGTTCTCTCTCAATCCCGTCTGTGCATGCCTGCAAGGCGTTCTGCAAGGATTTGAAAGGCAAGTTCGCCCCCTTGGCAATGAATTCTGTGGATTACGTTGTCCGGTGCTCATACGCTCGTTCACCCTCACCGCATGTAAGCGCTCTGTGCTCTTGCAGGTCATGATTCGCCTTGCCACAACCGTGGATGACACGGTGATGCTCTCGAAGACGATGATAGCTGAGTGGATCAAGGACCGGTATTGCTTCGAAAGCTCTCCTTTCGCTTTCGGCGCTCTGTCTCAGGACATGGCCGACCTTTGCTTTGACAAGTATGCTCACAAAGTCTTGGCCTGGATCCTTCAGCACCTTGCCAGCCTTGGCATGTAGGGCCCGTGAAGAAGATTCGGAGGAATGCAGCTTTCAAGCCTTGCAGTGGGGGAGCGAAGAGAGCCCGCTTTTACGCTTCTGTGCTGCGTGCATTCGAAGAAGCCGGCTGCACTTGCAAAGCGTGAGAAGAACACTGATGAAGTAGCCCCGTGCCTCTCTAGTGCCCATTCTCGTCGTGATGTACCAACCAGGGGTTTTTATACATATGCTCATGGATGCAGAAAGGGTGCTACTGTAGGGGTTTGAAACCAGGACGAAGCTGGCGACATAGGCACCGCAAGTATCGAGTCACAATCGTGGTACGACTGTCCAGTGTAGTCATCGCATTGTCAAGCTTGGCTGCGATGTGAGAGCGAGGCCAAATGACAAGCACTTGTTCTCCCCCTACGAGCCAGCAACCAAGCTCACAAGCACTGAGTGAATGCTGGGCTGGGATTGTGCGACGCACATGAGGGTGAAAGGATTCCTACGCTAGGTGCCAGTGCGCCGCTCTACCTTCACCCACGTCGTTGAAGGCGCAGCGTATACACAGTGCCGGGCCGCATGTGGCTGCGAAACAAGAGAGGCCGCCGAGACCCGGCGCCAGGAGCTGCTGCGGCATCTGAAGCCATGCCCTTGGGGCCTTGGGGCCTCGGGGTGCTTTTCTAGGGATTCTAGGGCTTTGTCTGGAGCCCAGAGACATGTCTCTCCCTCATTGCTCAGGCCGGCCATCTGCAGCGCTTTGCTCAAGGCGCCACTGAAGGCCGCGGGTGACAGGCATGCGAAGGTGCGGCAAAGGGGCGAAGCAGCAGCTTCAGAACGTGGCACCAGTGGGATCTCGAGGACCTCCTCGCCGCTTATCTAGCGGCCGATTGGGATCAGAAGCTCGTGGAGGCCCTCCTGGCATCCGCTCAGAAGGAGGCGCCAGCACAGACTGGGGAACTTGGGGCCCCCGCCGACTCGCTAGGCAGCTGGTGAGGACCTGGGCTCGATGAACGATGGCACCGTGGTCAACACCTTTCTTGTCTTGATGAAGCTGGATCCGGACAAGGCTGGTGCCATGAGTGTGATGTTGGGCATGCGATGCTTGAGCGGTGTCGGTGCTGAGGGGATGAGGCTGGCGCAACCCCTGTGGGAACGATGTCTGCAGCAGGAGACTTGATTGGAGGAACGTGAGCACGAATCTGCGATTGCCGAGCCTCAAGGTCCCAGTTGGTCAAGGCTAGCACCAGCCGCTGCTCCTTCTTGCTCCTCGCCATGCTCAAAAGCCTCGGCCACAGCGCTTCAGGTCTTGAACATCTCCGGTGCAAGCCGTTGAAGCTGAGCCGAATCCGTTTTGCGAAGGTGGCGATGATCTGAAGCGGTCGATTCTTACGGCCGTGAGGCCTCACCTATGCCGTGGCAAATCGTCATGGCTAGCCTCTCACTGGATTGCCAGCAGGGCCAAGAAGGAAGCGATCGAGAAGGCAGTGTCATCGGCCGAGGCACCGAGTCTGAGATCTCTGAGTCCTCTGGGAGCGGAGCTCGGCCGCAGCCTGGCGGAGGCATCAGGCCTCCAGGTCGCCGGAGCTCGGAAACTCCTAGCTGAGGCGGTCGCTGCGTGACAGCCTCTTTCATTTTCTCGCTTGCAGCATCTCGCATGTGCAGGTTTAGTCGCAGGAGTTGCAGGCAGTCCTGAGAAATGCTAGCCAAAGTTTGCTGCGCCGCTTGTTAATGACAGGAGACTCTTGCAGCAATCCGGAACATAGCATTAGAGAAAGGACATCTGGTCGCAGTCAGCCTGCAAGAGTCCCTATTATGACTCTGGGTCCCGGCCTAGCCGCTGATCAGAGCTCCAGTCCAAAAAAGGCAAATGCTGGATCTGTGCCTGTTCATACTCGCCTTCGGAATGGGGTGCTACGCGTAGCCGCGATTCGCCAAGAGTGTTTGAAAAGCTCAATGGAAACTATGGGCAGCGGTGCAAGAGTTATCCACTAGACCGAGCAGCCTGCTGGCAGTGACCCCCTGTAGAACCCCAGGCAACTAAAGCGCCACATCTCCGTCCGTACCGAGCCTCGCCATGTCGGGAGTCGCTCGGCGAGACACCGAGACCTGAGAGAGTCCGGTTCTGGCGAGATGTCTTTTGAGGTCACGTCGACCCTGGTCTGGCGGGTGGCTCCCCAAAAAAGAAACCCCCGAGCGAGACGTGCTTTTGACGATCTGACTGCCAGGATGCCATCATCAAGGAGAATCGCTGTCGCAGGCTCTCAGATGCTAGAAATCTTGAGCTACAGATGCCTTTCGAAGCTTGCCGGCTGCTGTCAATGATTCATATGCTGCGTGCAGATCCTACTATCTGGGCCGGTTTGGATCTGGTCGAGCGGGCCTAGTTTGGTCCCGGATTCTGAATCTGTCGAGAAAAGTCCTTTCCTTGCAGGTGCGATTCCCAAGCCTGGTGACGCAGGCGTCTACGACCCCTACAACAACGACAAGGCAGTCAACCGGTCAGAATTGATAAGGTCTCGTGGTTCAGCAGGCGAGGACGTAGCAACAGTTAGCAGAGGAAGAGTCAGACACAAGTCCCCCAGCTAAGGATAGTTATTCAGCACAAAGCAACGGATGCTGTACTCCTGCAGGTCTCTGCAATCAGCCCCCAGCGAGCAGTGGCCATTCCAGAGATTGCTGGCTACCAGCAGACATCTCAGTTCGCCGCCAATCGGGAGAGCCTTTCTGGACTAGCTATCACCTTCTTCACCACCTGCTTTCGAGGTCGTGGGAAAAATTCCGTCATGCCGGGCGGCTGGTGCGGCGGGAAGATGGGCCAAGAGCCACGAAGTGTCAGCTAAGCTGTGTGGAAATTCAGCAGGTCGTGGCGGATGGAGCAGTCGTAGCCTTGGTGCGCTGGAGAACCGAGTGATGAGATCCGTGGTGCGTGGCCCAGGATGTCGCCGAGGCCGCGGCCTGTAGTAGGAAGCTTGAGGTCTCCGCTTGGTCCCTTGCTTCGAACAGGCTGCGAGTCGCCCCGTCTCGGGCGTGAGAACTTGCCTCAGTCTGAGCCCAAGCCCGACGACGCGCTCCCGTGCGAATCTGAAGGTGCTGCACCCTCTCGTGCCCACAGCGCGGCCAGCGAGGCTGGCAAACATCACGCCACAAGCAGCACGAAGGTCTGCACACTCTGTTTTCGCCCTGCCAGGCGAGGACACTTTCCCAGAGGCGAGACGGGTAGCGCTGGGAGCAGTGTGAGCGAAGCCAGACAAGCGATCTAATGTGACAGGTCGAAGAGCAGCCACCGGTCCTTGGCGTCTTTGTCCCTGGCCTTACATGGGGGCCTTATGTATGCTCTGTTTTGACTCTTCAATCTGTGGCGATGTTGTTCAGGCGCACAGCCATCGAAGCTGCAGCCAGGGCCTCGTTGCAATGCGCCTTGGAGCGCGTTGCAACGCACCTGGGATGTGATTGCCCTCGCCGAGGTGGACTCCGAGTTGGCACGAGCTGGCCTGAAGCCATACGCCCCTTGAGCCCCTAAGGCTCGGTGCAGAATTGCGGGTAGTCGTCGACCACAGGGCTTAATTTGAGTAAGTCCTGTAGCCGGACGGTAAGGCCGGCCTGACCAGCCCTCAAGGGGCTTTGGCTGTCCGAGGAAAAGGAAAGACACCCTGTCAGCTCTTGCTCCTGTCGGCCCCACTGCTTTTGGCATCTTGACAGCTTAACGTTTCGCAGCCGAGATCGCTCTTGCAACCTTCGAAAACACAGTGAGGAAAACACCATCCTGCAGCGGTATAGCTCGGTTTGACCAGCCATTACAAGAGCACAGAGACGGGGGTCCCACAATTCCGTGCCTCGCATGGCCTGCGATGCAGAAGATGCAGAAAGGCTAGAGAGTTTGCAGAGTGTGCTCTCTTCCTTGGAGTTGGTCTTAGAGGCATGGGATCGGCAAATATCTGCAAGTCGCAAGGGTCTGCAGGCTTTGCAGGCCGTCAAAGGAGCCGTTTCGGAGGCCTCGGCCGCTGAAGAGGCGGCAGAGGCAGAGGCCGCTCTCTTGGACGCGCTGGCCGCGAGCAAAGCCATCGAAGTCCACGTGGCCACGGGAGCAGGCGAGAGGGAGGCTGGGCAGAGCGCGAGACGGTCCTCGGTGACGAGTGGCCATGGCGATCCTCTGACGGTCCCTGCGCACGAGCATCCTGAGTCCTGCCCTCGGGTCTTTCCTCGGGTAGTTTTTCGGGGGTCCTTCCGAGAGATGAGAAGGCCAGCCAAAGACGCTGCGTTCGATGTGCAGGGGCCTCAGTTCCAAAGCCCTGTGGCCGACTCCATGCCTTCGTGCGGCGCTGCAAGGAGCCCGCAGACGGAGCAGGTGCCAAAGAGCCGAAGCGCTGCAGCAAAAGCTTTTCAAGCTGCACAGGCCCAGGCAAGACCTCCCCGCAAGGCAATATAGTTGGAGAAGGAAGCTTTTTATGCCTCAGGCTGAACTCGGCAGAGATGGTGTCCTGTACGTAAGAGCTCTTATGGGATGGGATTAGAGGCTCTTGAGCAAAAATCTACGGTGCTGGTGTAGTCCAGGTCCGGGGGTGGAATCCTAGCACTAAGACTCTAAGGCTGAGACGTGAGAACACACCCAAGGCTCCTTCGGAAGAAGTGAATTTTTTCTAGGGGCGTAGAGTAGAGAGCAAAGGCAAGGCAGTGCCTCTCAACTCTCCCGTGCAGGCCAAACGAAGGCCAGAGGTATGTGACCAGTTGGAGGAAGGCCTGCCGGTCAGGAGATGTCTCTTTGACTGCGTGCGGGGAAGGAAAGGAGTGATGGCTTCAAGAGGTTTCGAGCCTTCTTCAAGCGCTCCCAAAGTATGCGAAGGACGTTGGTAGCCCGTTTTTTTGCAAGTCCTGCAGCCTCTCTCCTTTCGGCACCCCGATGCGGCAGCCGGAGGAGATGTTGGCATCGATTTTTCCATGTGCGACCGGCAGAGTTTGGGGGAGTCCGGTATCGAAGAGTCCTAGACCCCAATGGGCAGGTTCAACAAAGATGTTTGGGAACGTGCTCGGCGACGTGGCGAAGCGATGTTGAGCGAGTCCCAGGCTCTGAATCGCCGTCGACAGTCCTCACGGTGCCCCTGAAGTGCTCTCGCAGGCTGGAGCATTCGCATGCTACAGGGAGACCTTGCCGAAAGCTCTCAAGGCAGTCCAGGATTCTGAATCGTAGGCATTGACAAAGGGAGCTTGTGCGTCAGAGTCTCCTTCCAGGCACCGCAAGGTGGGCAAGCAAAGATTCGGAGGCTCCAGGCACTGGCTTCGGGCCCGAGAATAGAAGCTTTTGGTGGTTCCAGGAGAGCTTGTAAGGCCCAGGAGGCAGAAGAGCTTACAGTACTTGTCGGGGATCCGATTACATTTCGGGAGGTGGATTTGCTACACACATACAACGCTACAGGCGGTTTCGAAGATTCAGCTCCTGGATGAAATGGATTCGCCGTGAGAGCTTTTGTATGTTTGGAGAGGTCAGCACCGAAGAAAAAATCCTGCGGTGCTACCAGGCGCTTGTGATTCGCGGCTACTGAAACCTCGAAAGCTTGAAGTCTTTAAGGAGATGGCAGCTGGCAGCGGCATGGGTCGGGGAGGCTTTTTGCTTAGTGCGAACCTGGACCGCTTCATTGCACTGATCCAGGAGCATGTGAGCCTCATGCTGGGGCTGGAACCTAATAAGGTCTGCAGATTTCTTGCCAGCTGTTTCAGCCCTGAAGGATTCTGCTACGGGCGGTGTAATACCGGTGTAAACCAAAAGCTCTGTGCAGGCATGGAGCTTCGCAGCTCTGCGCAGCCGTTTAGATCAGGTATGTGAAGACGATTTCCTGAGGCCCTGTCCTGTGGGGGGGCACAGGACGGGACCATAGCGGAATGAAGACTCTCCGCCATGCTGTGGGCCGCCCTGCTCTTCCTGGCTGCAGGGCAGGAGCTACAGGAGCCCGACTCTCAAGGCGGGTGTTGGAACGAAGACAAAGTGCGCTCCCGCTGCTGTTATGGGGGCCCCATTGCCTGCTCTCTTGAGGAGAAATGCTGTGCATATCGCACCTGGGGCTCCTTTAGAAGATGACCACGGTTCTGAGTGTCGGACAGACTAAGGTAACGAAGGCTTGGCATTCTCTATCGAACTGTCAGAAGCGTTTCTGAAGAGCCCAACTGAGGCAGTTTGAATTATGGTCACCCGGGCTTGCCGGGGCTAGAGGGCCTACCCTCAGAACTTTTTCATCGGCTTCGCGTCCTCTTTCGAAGCCACGGCAAAGCACTGACTCGCGGTGGGGCTGCGATGGCAGCTGAGTGGTTGAGAAGGGCACGGAAAGAGCTGGATAATCTGAGGAACGTCAGCCGAGCGTTTCCCGGACAACTTCCGGACATGAGCGCGGCCTATCAAGCTTTTCTGGCTTACTTCGTGGTTTTTTTCGGACTCCGGAAGAGGCTCAGTTCTGCTGTGATCTCTGCGCTCTTGAGTCGGGAGCCTGGGCTTTGGTTGAGGTTTCAAGACATCTACGCGGCCGCCTGGGGACAGAGAGACTTCTGCCGCTGTGTAGAAGCCGGCGAGTTCTTCGCACGTTCGCAGGCCCAGTTTGAGGAGCTGGGCGTGGGGCAGAGACATTTTCTTCAGAGGTTTTTGAACGGCAGTGAGTGGCAACACCATGCCATCAGCCTTCAACGTTGTGACAAGAATGAAGACGACATGGTGCATCCGCGAGCAATCCAGCTTATGGCATCTTCCTCGCAGTGTGTGCCCGGCAACCTTGCGAGTCTAATCATCTTGCTACATTCTTGCATACTGGAGCAAGATTTGCGCAAGACGTTCATGCTGAGTGCCGGCATCTTCCAGCTCGCAACCTTTGCCGCTGAGTGTCTTGATGCCCAGTACTGGGGGTTCACCGCGCGCGATGCAGTCCTGCATCATGCTAGACTCATTTGGGAGGTTGTAAGGGGCCAGGTCCGAGCGGTTCAGCTCCAGCCGATGCTGTTGAAGCGCTTTGCCTGGAACGCCTTCCTGAATAGGAAGGCCCCGGCTTTGCAGGTCTCGAGCTCGAGCACGTCCTCGTGTGGCCCACACGAAGTCGGCTCTTCCACCATTGGTGTTGCAAAGCTCGGTCGCTTCACATACGGGCCGCTTTGCACAGAGCTCGGGCGTTTCTGGCTGCAGGCGGAGATCCTGAAGGACCAGCGGGCGACTGACACGAAGCGTGTTCTGGCGATCATTCCCGTAACCATGGCAGGGGAAGCCAATCCGTGGCATCATTTGCATTGGTGGCTGCCTGCCCTCTGGTTCTACAAGCTCAAGAAGCAGATCGACGCTTCGCACTTGGAGGTCGCCCTGGTCTTTCCTCACGAGGAGATCGACTGGGCTACCTCGACTGCTCGCGGTCGTGTCGTCGACGCCACCTTCCGTGGCCACACAGAGCCTAGAGAATGGTCCTTCCTGCAGCCGACGTGGCCGAGACAAAGTGGCTTAAGCCTAAGCGTCTCTGAGCACTTCGTGCCTCCTCACGGTGTGCATGCAGGAGTTTTGCAATGGCTCTCGGAGCTACCGCCTCGGCCATTGCAGAGCTTTGAGGGTGAAAGCTACGGCAACGTCATTTTGGGGCTTCCATCCTTGCGGTTCTTCCTCCGAACTCCGGAGATGAGCTGCCACCAAGTCTCCGCCCTTCGGCGATTCCTTCTCCGCTCTTTTCCGGACCGCTCTGAGCTCGTTCCTGAGCGAGGCTCCCCAGGCTCTAGTCCCCACCCTCTTCAGCTTGCTCTGCTACAAAGGCCAGGGAGCTTCTTCTGCGGTGTCCAGCGTCAGCGTAAGGGCATGTGCCCGCAAGTGGGATCTTCTTGCAGGCCGGCTGGGGATGGTCGGCAAATCGAAAACTTCGAGGAGGCTCTGTCTGGGCAGGGGATTAATGCGGGAGGGCCTGTGGGAGGAACGCAGGAAAGGTAGGAGCCTGTGCTTTCAAAGGTCCAAGAGTTTCTTCGAAGCAACTTCTCGGAGCTGCAGCTCAAGGTCATCCAGCATCTTTCGGGTCTCCCGTGGGTGGACCAGTTTCGCATGTTCATCGGAGCAGCACCTCTGCCTTTGAATGGTTTAAACGATTGAGACACACGGCTTCTTGAAAAAGATCTCTCTCTCTCTCTCTCTCTCTCTCTCTCTCTCTCTCTCTCTGAGGATCTCTTGGTGGCGGTGCACGGCGCCGGGATGGCCTGGCTTTGGGCCATGCGCCCAAAGGCTGCGGTCATCGAGCTCAGGCTCCGGCTCCTTCTCGCTCCGTCTCCGGGTCTCCACCAGAAAAAAGGGATGTTTCGCCGGAAGAGACTGCAGGAGCCGAAGTTCACCAATGTGGCTGCACTGCACGGGGCTCAGCAGCTCTTTGAACCTTTCTTGGAGAAGTTCTCCAGATCTGGAGGCTCGGAGATCTGGAACACGGATGGCAGTCAGATTTTTGGTGGATTGGCTCGGCTGGCCTGGGACTCAGCGTATCTTGTGGAAGACACCTTTGGCCCATGACACACGCTGTACCAGGTCCGTGCCAAACTGAGGTTGGTATGCATCACATCTGCACCCGCCCTCATGACCTTCCAGGAACAGTGGAACAGGCCACCGCACTGGCCCTGGTTCTACAAATCTTTCTAGTCTTGAGCCTGCCGAAGGCACGGCTGTCAAAGATCGGCGACATGACGGAGGAAGATGCATACAATCACAGTGACAACGCGCGCCAGCACGCGTTTTCGGTTTTTGCAAAGGCCAAGTGACGGAACCCGCTTCTGACTTCGTTCTGTTGGCAGGTTGTGGTGTTTTTGCCAAAATTGGCGATGCTGCTGCGCTCTGCTTCTCAGCTGCGGCATTGGCACAGACATGCACAGACAACCTATAGTGTGATTCGCAAGCTGCGCGATGCAAGGCTCTGTCTCTGGTTCGTGGAGAGCCTCTGCCTTGTCTGGACTATCACTACTGGCAGGGGCTCTAGTGCTGTTTCACTTCGTTTCACACTTCCAGCCATCCAGCCGTCGGAGTTGAAGAAAAGAGACTGCTACAGACAGCTCCAAGAGCAGCTCCGTGCTGTCGGCAGGAGAACTCCGAGGCTCCCGACGCAAAAAGAGGAGGGGACATCGGGTGGATTTCGAAAGGAAAGGCGGAACCCAGACTGGAAGCCGTGGCCTTGACAACGCCCCGAGGCCACGAGAGAGCAGAGAGAGATAGAGCTACTGGTGCTCCAGTGCTTGTAGAAGTTGGACCTCTTGTCCCTGCTCGAAGGGGCATGTTCACCGGCCTTCCTCGAACGACCGGGTTGCTTCCAAATGGTCTATGTGGAGGATCGGGAGGGATGGGAAGGGTGAGAGAGGACCCGCGGAACTTTGTCCATGCTCTTTGTGATCCAAGGAGAGGCGCTGATGTGGACCTTTCATGAACGCGCGCAGCGATGATCAAAACCGATGTTGACCGGCTTCGCCGCCCTGTGCCGAATCGCATAGCATTTTTCAAGATGCTACAGGTAGACAAGTCACCATGTGGGACGTGCAGCTGTGATTGGCTCAGCTTCAGACATGTTAAGATGATGCTGGTACTCATGAGCATCTTAATCTGGGCGGGCACAAGCCTCACATGGGGCGGAAGCATGCCCCCCCCCACTCCGCGACACTGACACCTGAATCTCAACATAATTTCAGTTACCCAAAGTATGCGTGACAGCATCATGAAACCTCGGGTGAACTCATCAGGGTGTCACTGATTCCCGATCGGTTCTTCTTGACCGGAATGACTTGCCTGGGGCCGAGGGAGCCCGTCATGCAGTTTGCAATACCATCTTCTGTGTAGAATAGCGCAGCGAGTTGAGGTAGCGGGAGAACAGCGCTGATAGCTTTCCTGCAGTTGAGCTTGAGGCAGGTGTTCACTCAATGAATCGAGTGTGCATGATACAGTCATGCTGCTTCTCCGACGAAAACAACATACCATCACTGCCAACAGCACAGCACCAGCAGTGCGCTGCAGCAGCACGGCGGCTCCTATTGCTGCTGTTGCTGCTGCTTTTGTTTCTCCGGCATTCTTGGGCCGTGGCTGCTCTGCTGGGAACGGACGACGGGCTGTGTGCTCGTGAGACACTTCAGGAGTAGCATGAGGGTTTGGGATGATAGTGCAGTGATGTCATCAGCTTTTGTTGCCTGTCACACAAATCGACCCATCTTCCCCAAGCAAACCCGGGCCATCCCAGATATGATGTTCAGTTTAAGTTACCTGTCAGGCTCGCATCCGGCTTCAACATCTCCGAGCTGGAGATCATCGTGCTCAATGCCTCTGATCCTCTCTTTTCGGATGCAAATGTGCGCATGAGCCAGGCCAGCGGCTCAGAACCGTAGAGTCTTAGAGCATGGGGCTGTGGGAAGCGGACATGGGGACATCCCCTTGTGCGCAGGATGGCAGCTGTGGGGCGCCGCGGCTGCAGTACTCGGCGTACAAGAGCAAGTGCAGGGGGTGCGTAGACTGTGCATAGATTGTGCGCAAAGCTCACAGCTCCAGGCTGGAACAGTGCCGGGTTCAGTGAGACCGGCAACGCAAGGCCCGCAATGAGAGTACGAGAGAAAGGAGGCCAGAGAGAGAGAGAGAGAGCGAGAGAGGCCAAGCAAGAGGGAGCAAGAGAATCGCCACTTTCCTTTCTTCCTTCGGAAGGGTCCTTGGCCTTGTTACTGTTATTTGCGCAGCAGCGTTCGACGTTGCTGGACCGGTTCCTGTGCCATGTCAATGTCTTTTGTCTTGTGCACCTGCGACATGCTTTCGATTTGTAAGCACATGTTGGCTCGGTTCGTTTCCAGCAAACCTTCCCCCGTTCAGACTTCAAGTCGATACCCACTGGCAAGTGGTATCGTCCCGCCCAAGCACAAATGCTCTGAGCCTGTCGCCTCTTTCAGCAGTTTCGCAGCTCTCGCGCGTCCATGCAATGCAAACTGTTTGTAAGAGGCTGGTCATGCCTCAATACTTTCAGTGGTGCAAGCCGATTCTTGGAAGCAGTGCCAGCTCATGCCGTGCAGGCACGTTTTCAGGACCTGCCAATCCGAGTATGGACTATCCTGTTGCCTTCGGCGTTCGGTCTTCAGAATCCGGCGTGTGGCAGTCCACTGAGCCCATGGCGAGTCTCCGGCCCGGCGCAGCAGATGTTCGGGTGCGTGGACTTCCTTTCTGGCTGTGCAGTCACTGTACTTGTTGGGTGCGGTCATTGCTGCACTTGCTCCAACGATCAAGTCTTCCAGCACTATCTGGCGTAAGGGTTGCTGGTGTGTTCAGGACGGACAGAGGGGGAGGGAGGGAACGAGAGGAAGACAGAGGCAATTGCAGACACATTGTGTGGGCTGCATGAATCTTTTTCTGAGGTAGAGAGATACACCCACCCGACGGTGTCAGCGCCGCCTTCCAGCTGCACACAGTTATGCCAAGTTCGTTGCAGTGAAGCTTTTGCCGAGACGATCAGACTACGAAGTTTAAGGACTGGACATGGTCAGACAGTGGGACGCAGTACTGCGCCACTGATAGCTGTGCTTACAGAGGTGACCTTGGCCGGGAGCCTTCCATGAGAAGGCACCAAACTCCCAGACGACTCTGTCTTGCTCCCGAGGCTCCGGGTCTTTCTGGTGCCCCTTGGCGCCTGGCGACACTGCTGAGCGCTTGAAGTGTGAGTGCGAGCCGGATGCCGAGAGACCCTGGCGGATCTCTAGCATTTTGGCACACACCACAGCTATCTAGGCCTCGGTGCTGGGGATCTGCTAAGGCAGTGCCCCTGTCCCGCAGGGACCGGTGGTTTCCAATGCGTCAACTGTGTCAGCCCCTCGCATGCCAGCCTGGAACTTCACTGGGCAGCAACACACTGCTTCAGGAGACAGACGAAGGTTGCGGAGAGGGTGGCAAATGCATAAGGCAGGCACCAGTGTGATAGCAGCACTGGGGAATCGAGGGCTGTATTTGTCCGTGAGCCCTTGTTCCAGGTCCATGCTTCTGGATGGCCTGCATGACAAGTGACAACCTTAAATCCCCAGGCAGCAGAAGACTTGAGTCAAGTCACAGCGCGGCAAAAAGTACAAAGCTCCGAGGCGATTTTCCTGCAAGTTCGACGAAGACCTGGAGCGCTCCTCCACGTACCGCCTGTTTTGGCACCGGCCTCAGCCTTCGCCCAGAGGAGAGAGGATTCCATCTTCGCTGGGCGCTTTCTTTCGGTGCTGTGCCTTGTGCGAGGTCTGGCGGCTGGTCGAGTCCGCAGTTCTTTGCGCAGTACTTTCCCTCGCAGGGAATCGCGCGCTTGGCTTCTTGACCGCATGCGGAAGATGCATGAAGTGTTTCTTCCAAGTTCTCGAGCTGATTGAAGAGGTAGGTGAGTGGTGCAGGATTACAGTTTGTTCGACAGCCCTTGCTGCAGAGATCTGCTGAGGACATCATCAATACAATGTGCAGCCACCGCCAGCCTATCCTTATGCAGCTGACCCCTCAGTTTTGAAGCAGGTGCTAGCTTGGGTGCCGGAACTTCTAGCCCATGAGGTGTGGGTGCACAGCGTGCGATTCCCTGCTCGACGACATCGACCCGATCACCGGCGAGCAGAGTGGAGTGTGGAGCTCAGCGTGAATCTAGACGTCTCGTTGCACAGTCAGTTGAAGACCTTGCTCCAAGGCCTGCACGGATGCGAATGTGCCAAGCCCTTGTGCTCGCTGCGAGAAGTGTGAGCAGTGGCCCTACGGACTGGGAACACAGAGTCGAATGGCGCGTAACGACGTAGTAAAAATGCGTACAGTATCGGCGGAGACCATCCGGTTGCAACAAGTGGGGGCTGGGACAACTCGGTTTGGATGGTCTGAGGGCCTGGGAGAGCGTATGAGGCAAGTATGACCAAGCACGAGAGATGTCTAGACAAATTTGAGGGGGCTTGAAGGCTTGCTAGGCACGAGAAAACAGGTAAAGCGTGAGTGTGAATGCCCGGTTTTGCCACAGGTGTACCTATCCGGATGATTCCTGGCTTTCCTCCTTCACAAGGACTTGCATTCTCGCTGCAGCCTTTGATAATGCAGATTCCACAGAGCCTTCGATAAGTGCCTGTTCTAGATGAACTGCGTTGTCGGAGAGGATCATCGTCGATGGCATCCGCCGCGGTGTGCTGATCGGTTGTGAGGTGGGGCTCGGTTGCAAAAGCTGACATAAAGGAGTGGACGCCTACGTTCAGCCCACTGCTTCCTGTTACCCTGGCGCCTCCTTGAACAGTTGAGCATCGTGCGTGGGCTTGGCAGGATACAGGAAACTGCCACGCTGTGCTAGATGCTTCGGTCTCAGACTCCTTGCAAGGCAGATCGCTGTACTCTTAGCAGCTTAGCACCTCGAGGACCTGCCTGCCCCGCTGTCTTTCGACTGTCAGACGGGCATGTGCATCCCAGACAACTCCACAGAAGAGGCTGGAATCTACGTTGCTTGCTGGAGAGTCACGGCGACTTGTCAGTTGCATCTTAGGAAGGGCGTTATAATGTAGCAGAAGTGCTGGAGCTTGGGGCCTGCCTAGATCTGTGACCATCCAATCTTCGATGTCACAAGAAAGCCCTCAGGCGAGTCCGAGTCCTCTTACCACTCTCGGTAAGTGCGGGACGTGTGGCTCTCTTTTCAGCTAACAACAGTCAGCTGCGCAAGAAGAAGCAGACTTGCATAGGCTTGTTGCGGAGCTCGGACCATCCCAGCATGTGCAGGTGGTTCTTGCTCGACGATCAATTGACCTCTTTGGCCAGTGGACAACCGTGGCGCTGCTGATTCTGTCCCTGGTTGTGTTGCTGTCTCTGCTGGCGCCTTAGAGCAAGGGGCCATGGGGTGTCGTAGCATGTTGTGGCTGATGGTAGACTCCAGGTTCGTGCTGCTCTGCGTAGTCTTGGATTGCCTGCGAACGAAGAGGCGGGCATTCTGGGCGCAGCGCTGCGCAGCGGGCGTTCTCTTCGTCTGAGGTTGGCCGATGGAGCCTTGCTGGACATGCCGGGCGCGCCACTGCCCGCCATTGCTGCGGCGCAGGCAGCCCTCGGAGGCCAGGGGCTTCGCCTGCGCACAGCATACGAGCTCTCACTTTCCAAGCCTCTCCCGCTCCCGCTGCGCCGCTGAGTGGCAGGCTTCGGCAGCACGCCGCCAGGCCGGACCGCGGAAACCGCGTGAGAAACCGGGACTGCGAGCCTCTCCGTCTCATCTCCTTGGAAACACCACGGGAGAGTCTGAGACTTCTGAGAGGTGCGACGCTGGTCTTCAGCTGGCAGAACATCAACTGCGCTCGCAAGGACAAGAAGGTGGGTGACCGGCGGGTGGCATCGGCTGACGGCTGCGCATGGCTTCCCCACAAGAGATGCGCTCGAGGTCCTGCAGAACGTCTCGGGTTCAGTAGAGGCAGGGCAGAGAGGACAGCAACCCGCATTAACTCTGAGCTCTGAGTCTTTGCTTGAATTGCAGACACTCTCCTCTGGGCGCGGCGCTCTGGTGGCGCTATTGGGGCCCTCTGGAAGTGGAAAGACGACGCTCCTAGAGGTTGACGCAATGTACCATGTTCAGTGAGGATCGAAGCTGCTCTGCAACTTGGTGTCTCGGCAGGCACTGGCTGGCAGGATGCAGCCGGGGGACTCCGGAGAGGTCCGCATCAACGGCAAGGCGCTCCACGATGTGCCAGCTTTTCGGTATAGAAGGCCTCCAATACATGGTCGCTCAGGAGATGTCTGCCAGAAGCCGGCGGCGCCACGTCTCTTTCGTGTATCAGGCTGAGTCATGGGAGGCGCCAGGCCACCAGACGTCTTGTGAGCTCAGTGTCAGGATGAAATCCTCGGCGCCACGCTCACCGTCAGGGAGGTTCTGTGCTGAGGCTTCAGCCTTGAAGTTGAGCTTCGCCGAGCGCAGCAGAGGCCCTCGAGTTCTCCGCAGCATTGCGGCTACGGTCGCTCAGTGCCCAGCGCCCAGAAGATGGCAAGTAACTGTTTAGATTCAGATCTGAGTGGGGGAGGGGCCGATGATGGCGACATCGTGGGCCCGATGTGCTCAGGCTGCCAAACGGGCAGGGCGGGTCTCCTGGGCCCTGAAGATGTTGAAGTTGGAGGCCCTCCAACTCTCCATCACGGCACGAATCGCACGACGGTACAACCCCACAACCCCTGGCCATCTCTGGCAGTCACCAGGAAGTTGCTGACTCAAAGATCGGGGACAGCCATAGACGAGGCATTTCCGGAGGAGAGCGACGCCGTGTGGCGATAGGCAAGGATGATGTCTTGTCAGCTCGGGTCTCTCCGTTTCACTGCAGTGGTCTGCAGGGGTTGAGTTGGTAGTATCACCTCCGATCATGGTGCTGGATGCCCTGAGCTGAGTCTCCAAACAGATTTCCACCTCGAGCTTGGCATATGGGACTCGGCTGAGGAGCCGACAACTGGTCTCGATGCCAGCTGCGCCTTGATGCTCGGCCGTGTTTTAGCGCAGCTTGCCGAGGCAGGAGCAGCCGAGTGGCATGATCCTCCCTCTCTCTCTCTCTCTCTCTCTCTCTCTCTCTCGCTCTCTGTCCTTCATCGCAGCGCAACAACGCGTTTGCATGGCGTTTGCAGGGGGGGCGCCTGCTGATCTGCAGCATGCACCAGCCGCGGGCGGAGCTCCTGCTGCTCTTCAATGCCAGGCCCCGCGGGTTCCGAGAGATGCCGATCCGAGTGCCCTCGCTGTAGGCATAGGCTTTGTGGATCAGGCTGGACCTCGGACAGTACGGAGACCAGCTGACCAAGACCACGGACCCCTGGTCACACAAGGAGACGGACGATGGAATTTCCCATGTGCTCTGGACTACCATGTGCAAGGAGGAGGAAGACTGGAGCCCAGAGAGGGTGGTGCCCAACGAAAGGCTCTCTTATGCCCGTTGTCTTGCTCTGTTTGGCATGTGCACGACATGTTGGGCCGATGCTCGATGGTCCTGTTTGCCGCCAGGCTTGGGCATCTTGGGCAGGACGAGGACACTTCGAACGTGAACCCTGAGCTCGTGGAAGAAATCAAGAAAGTAGTTAGCAGGCATGGGCCTCAGTATGGCAAGGGACGTGGGGCAAAGCAGCATGCATCACACGGTCAGGCAATCGTTTGGAAAGCAAAACGGCTGCATGGCGGGCGTATTTGCGGGCTTTGACGATGACCTCTCCGATGCCTTGGCAGTATGCTCGTATTCGGATGCCTGTTTTGGACGGACCGTGACAAACGGCAACCGAGGCCATTGCTTCACGTGCGACAGCGGGTGCGTCTCAGGCCGGCCTGACCTTGCAGGCCAGCCGCACTCGAGGGGGTTTGCAAATGAATGGTTGATCGCAGTTTGAGGGTGCCATGCACCTGACTGCAGGTCTTCCTCCTGTGGCAGCGTAGCCTTCGCGAGGCAGACGATCGCAGCATCAATCGCTCGTGAACTTTTTGCCCGTCTGAAGTCAGTCAAGGCCACCCGGGGCAACTATGCAGGGGTTGTGGCTGCAGTTGTGGTCCTGACCATTGCTTTCCTCGTGGCATCCCTATTTCTGTGAATTCGAGTAATGCTCGAATGCTGCGACGTCTTTGCATTCAAAACAAGCCAAGGTCGGTTTCACGTTCAGGAATCTGGATACAGGCCGCGTGACTCAATTCCAGCATCATCGGACATCTCAGTCATCGAAACAGCGTCCTTTGCATCACGTAAATGCGTGCACATGCTTACCTGGGCTCTGCGTGACAGATCGAGGCATTGTGGGAGTACAGAATCGCTTTGGCTCCATATTCTTCACTCAGCTCTTCTTCAGTTTCTTCGGGCTGCAGGCGGCCTTACGGGCATCTTCGGTTCGGCGAACCCGTCATCAGTGCTGCTTTTGGCCATTGGCAGGCCTGCACTCTTTGGTATGTGGACCGTGATCGACTTGATCGTGAAAGAGCCTCGAAGCTCTACAATGCAGGGGGCCCGTCATGCTTAGAAGTCGGATTCTCGCAGCCCGCACGTTCTTACCGGCAGGTAATGTCATACTTCCTCGCGAAGGGATCGGCGTACCTGTGGTGGTGGAGACCTGAATGCTCTTACGACCACGACTTGTCCATGCTCCTGAGCCGCTGCGTGGCTGAGGTACTGCATCTTCGTCCCAGCCATGTATGCAGCAGCCCGAGCTGCCGCAGCAACGGCCCAACACTCTTTTGGACAGACGAGCTGTCAAGCTCGAGGTTGGCATCGTGTACAACCTCATCGGCTTTCAGGCTTGGGCTTCCTTGGAATTGACTCGGTACAAGCATTTGCAGCTGGCCCTGCAGGGGAGTATCTCGAAAATGCTGACCTTCTACCTGGCCACGGCTGGTACCACTGCAGCTGCAAGCGGAGTGAGCCTGGACCTGAGGTGCCAATTTGCTAGGTGCCTGGTTCGTAGTAAGTGGTAAAGCCCATGCCCTACGAAGATATCTGAGCCAGGTCTGCTCTGCCTTTCATTGACAAGTTCCTTTGCCAACGGCATATCACTGGCAGCGATTTTCCTTACAGCCAGAGCCTCAGTTTCGAGATCTGATTGTAAGAGGTGTGCGTGAAGAGCGGAGGTGCTGCAGATGTATGCTGGTTTCCTCCAGCGCCGTGACGCGATCCCGTGGACCTTCAGGTAGGATACCTAAGCAGACGTTTCTCTTCCGCAAAGGTCACACTGGTGTCCGGGCACATGCAGAAACGAAAATTCCAGAAGCCAGCCGCCACTTCGGGCCTCGATCACTAGCACACGACGGGTCGAGAGGCTGTGACAGGTCAAACAATCTGCCGAGCCCCATCTAGAATCTAGACAATCTAGACTGTGAAGACATCGCCCCGCGACGGGGAGCAGCCAGCTTTGCATTTTCGCGGTTCACTCTCGTATGTATGTGTGTGTGTGTGCGCGCGCTTCTTCTTGTTGCTTTTCGGAACATTGTGCGGCGTGTTGCCTGCATTGCAAATGCAGCGTAGCAGTGACATGGTTGGCAAAATGCAAGATCCCTCCGCCAAGAGTGTCGCAGCTTATCATGCCCTGTCTTCCGCTGTTTGTCCGTGTATCAGAACCGTGCCGCCACAGGGGTAAGGTCTAACTATCGATATTCTGGACATTCTGCATTTCTGTCATTCCAAATCCACCAGCCAGAAAGCATGCAGGACGCCGCCCGAGGGGCGAACATGGATTGTGGAAGCTGTGAACGAGCAACTGTTTTCAGGGAGCTGTCCGTTCGACAGGATGCTGTCTCATCGATGACATCTCAGCAAGCCAAGAAATGGGCAAGATGGAGCTTGCGCAGCAGAAATGAAACAGTCCATGCACACAGATAAGACAGTGCGTAGTGTATGTGCACACAGTCATGCACAACAGTGCAACTGTAATGAAAGGTGTTCACTACTGATTTGGTTTCGCACCTTCGCGCACAACTACGGTGAACGCTGTCTGGGGGAGCCCATAAGACGATAAGGATAAGCAAAAAAATAATGCGCACATCGAGGCAAGACCTTTGCCTTCTCAGGGCTGGAGCTGTGCAGAGCTCGCTGTCTTAACACCTCCCCCTCGTCCTGTGGCACAGCTGGTTCTTGGATAGTTGTGAGTGGCAGAAGTGCGCAGGTGGCTGAACGATGTGTCACCCTTTGCCCACGCTTTTGCTGCGATGATCTCCAGCGAGTTCACGGGCCTGGTGACGACGGTTGAAGCGACGGGTCTTGGAGCCCAGAGGGCCACGACCCGCCCAGTTCCAAGTTCCCTCCAGATCTGGAGGTCACTCAGCTGTGACTGTTTCCGGAGGTGACGGAGCCTCAGAGAAGTGGGAATGCAGTCTCAGAGAGATCGACTGACAGAGTCGCTCAGATTTGGCCGCAGCAGTTCAACGTGGACCCTACCCGAATGGAGCACAACCTTCAGATGCTGGGAATTGTGGCGGGCAGCATCTGGATCCTGGCCTTCGTCCCTCTTTGGCTTCGATGGCGCCCTGATCAGGAATTAGATCCCAGATCTCCCACCCGCTACAGGTAGTTTCTGTCAAGACCTCGGCAACTCTTGCAGCTAGGTACCGAGTGAAGACTTACCACCGTTGTTTCCGGCCAACGACACGAGACAGACCCAGCGACGCCAGGGCCCTGAATGCCAGAGCAAAACTATCTCAAGCTTTGAGGGTTTTCTTGGTAGTCTTCCTATATCAGGCTTTGGAAGCCCCGTCCTGGGTCAGCGGCCGAGCGCAGGCTTCCCGGGAAGCCGTGCCAACATATTCAACACAGCGCCCACAGCGCGTTGCTTTGCCAGGGCTCCGCAGCTTTGATTTGGCAGGCTGGGAGTATGTTGAGTCTGTTGAGGGGCTGCCACATGGACTCGATTCTCACAACTTGAAGGACCTCCGAGCGACACTGCCCAATGGAGCCGGCCTGTACGATGGGTGCGCCGTTGCTGAAGCCTGCAAACGAATGCTTGTGAAGCTTCTGGGATCCGGATGGCAGGATGACCGGCATTGTGCACACCGGCAGGCCCAGTAAGTCTGACACAAGTTCCGAGCACCTGCATCCACTTAGCCCGGTAGTCGCAGGCCATTGGCCGTGCTCGGCCCCTCTGGTTGCGGCAAAACGACCCTGCTGTCGTGCCTCTCTGGCGAGGTTGACGGCCTAGAGCTCCAACGCAGTCCACGAATCGATGTGGACAGGGCACAACCTGTCTTTTGCAGAAGGAAGGGGAATCACATCGAGCCCAGGTCACGAAGACGAAGTGGACGGGGTCGATCTGTCTCAACAGGCCTTCTGTGTGACTGCGTCTTGCTGACAGCAATGCTGCAGCTTCTGCAGGCAGAAGATTGCCAGAAGGAAACTTCGAAGAACTGCCAGCCCTTCAGACCTGTCAGTGAGACTGAGACCTGTATGCGGTACTGAATGGGGCTGCAGCGTGTCGTGGCCGCAGGTCGGGTATGTGCGGCAAGACGATGCCCTCCATCCGGAGCTGACCGTGTCAGAGGCACCGTGTCACTTCTGCGTCTTGGACAGAGAAATGCAGCTGACATTTTTAGCCGTGCAGGTGATCTCTTTTGTTTGGGTCTCGGCAGTCTACGCACAGAGGATGCTGCATCGATCGACCTGCCACTTAAGGCAGTCGCCCTCCGAATGCCAAAAGCCAGTCGGAGAACAAGGCATGAGCCAAAGCCTCGGCTCGGCAAGTTTCTGCGCTTCTGCTATTGAAGGGCACCTGCACTTTTGGTGCGTGACCAGCGGTTCTTCAAAGCCCCGCTTCAAGGCGCGTCACCTGGACGCTTCACCGTCTGGGGCTGGAGGCCACTGCAGCTCCGGCTCAGAGGCTTTTCTTTGTCTTCGTTGTATTGTGGAGGCAGTGGCGAACTCGAAAATCGGCGGCCACAAGTTCCGCGGAATTTCGGGTGGTGAGAGGCGACGTGCAGCAGTTGGGGTCGGAGACCTGCTTGCGAAGCTGATTCCGGCTTCGACTCTGTTATGTTGATGTCACAAGGTCGAGCTAGCCGTGGCGCGTGGTGTCCTGGCGCTGGATGAACCCACCAGCGGCCACGTCCCCAGGAGTCAGGCTAAGAGTGGAGACCGAGCCCTGAACATCCAGGTTTAGACAGCAGCAGCGCCCTGGCTTTGGGAAGCTTGCTGGCAGAACTGGCTGGGGAAGGCGCGGGCTGCTGGCGCCAGCCTAAAACACCTTCACCTTCCGAGCGCCGGGTGTGTACCATGGTCGTCATTCTGCACTGGCCCAGTGGCAGCAATACAGTCAAGCCCTTTATGACAGATCAACTTGTCAACCATGTGCCACAACCCCTCTTCTGGGTATCCAAAAAGCCTTTCCGACCAGGAAGATATTCACTGTCAGGGAAGATCTTCTGCAGTGAGTTGGTGCTGGTCGTACATGGCTATGACTCTGGCTGCACGCCACAAGCCATGGTTGTCAAGCCTCAGCCGTGGTAGCAAGGTGTGCAGCACAACAGCGGTTTAATCGATGACTTCGGTTCGAAAGGCGGATAAGTAAAAAGAACTACGAATGCCAGGCATGGCACCGAGGCCCCTCAAAATTTCAAAGCTGTAGGTGTCATTCTGCTGGCCTCCATGCACCAGCCTTCTCCAGATTTGCTGGCCGGTGTCTTGTGAGCTGCGGCTTGCGATCACGCAGTCTTCTGGATGCTTGCCACTTCTGGCCACTTCCGCCCTGCCCTAGGCCTATTTTAGCTCCACCCTGGTCCTGGGAGCGCACGGCAGAGCCACACTGGCTTCGTTTTGCGCGGAGAAGAAAGCGGGCTTTGCTTCCGAGTCTGCCGAGCTGTCAGGTGGCTTACTTTGGACCATCCGAGCAGCTGCCGACGTATGTCTCTCCGTTTCGTGGCCTTGCCGCCTTAGTTCCTCCGTGCAGCACAGTCTGCGGGCATTCTGCGATCTGAACTGCCCAGGAAAGCTGAATCCTGGGGTAAGCAGTGCATCGGACCGCTTGCGGCATTTGTCTGTCTGAATTGGCTGGGAAACGTGAGCAACACCGTACCCCGTTTGACCACGGAGAGGACCTTCTGTTGGACGTCGTCTCCGGCTGCTCGGTTGCCTTTCCCATCAGAGTGTGGGACAGGACGATGGATACCGCGCGCCCAGGACCCCATCAAGACAAGGTGTTCGGGGGCTTCCACGAGTCCATGCCCTTGATTGAAACTGTCAGAGCACGCGTTGATTGGACCTCAGCGGCATGCACCCAGAAGCTCCTAAGAAATCCAGGTCAAAGCATGCAGATGCGCTGCAAGAGGACATTCAGAGAGTGCTGGCCTCACAGATAGCTAACAAACGCACTAGCAGGACTACAGGATTTTTTCGTGTCTTGTAGCGAAGCCCGATTAAGAAGAGTTTCAGGTGCTGATGATGGCTTCCGAGGACGACATGGAGGCTAAGCGAAAGCGGGGCTGTGTGCTTCAGTTCGGAAGAGAGCCGGAGTCGGAAAACACAGTCTTTTTTTTTTGACTTGCACCTGTCACTCGGAGACTCCTCTCCTCGGCATCCTTGGCACAGATTTCAGGTCAAGTCGGCGGCAATGCCTCCGGTTTGGGCGCAACTGCTGCGCCCCCAGAAGTGGTGAAACAGCAGCGGAACTTCGAACTCGTCGCTCCAGCCCGAAGGTCTTGTTCTTGTACAGTCATAGTGCCTGTCGAAGAAAGCAGTCAGGAGACAGCTGCTGCTGCGAGAACTTCAGATCAGCAGGACTCCGACGTCGCGACGCTTGTTTGCGAGAGCATGTTCAATGCGCCGCTGGCTTCCAGGAGCTTAGCTGCCTACACCTACTTCGAGGTGCACAATGTAGCCTTGCTCGGTGCTCTCACTCTGTCTGTGTGTGTGTGTGTGTGTCTGTCTCTCTCTCTTTCTCTCGCTCTCTCTCTCTCTCTCTCTTTTTCTGTCACTATCTTTCGTTTCTTCGCTCACAAGCTCCGTCAGGCAACCATAGCCGGCGTGTTGCTTGGCACGACCTCGAGAGACTGCCAAGCTAAAAATGCGTTGCTGCATTTCCCGGAAACTAAGAAGAGGTTACTCGGCGCGACCTACTACCAGATGTCGTATCGCCTGGCCGGAGTCATCAGGTTCGCCGCCTGGCCTGGTACGTTTGTCGTAGACTAACTTCCCCTGTCTGCCCTCTCCACTGGAGGATGCGGTCGTGTTAAGCCTCCTAAAGCCAGGCCAAAGCAAAGACACCAAGTTATGTTTTTGTGGCCGTGTGTTTTGATACTCGAAACATATTCTCTCTCCTCCATAGATCTCGACGGCTGGCAGTTGCTTCGTGATTCTAGCGCTTTGCAGGGTTTCCCACCATCTCTCCGTCACGTGCCATTCCTCCAGGCCAACTGTGAACACATCCGCAGCATTCAGCCACACCAAGCCATGCATCCCTGCAGCACCCATGCCATTCCCAGCCATCTCCGCGAGGTAAGGTCCCGAAGCCGATAGCCACAGAGACTCTTGTGCAGTCCAACTTGCGGAGGTCGCACAGGTGCTACAGCAGGAGGCTAAAGGCTTGAAAGACTGTGCCTGTCTGCAAAAATCCATGCTAGCATCCTGTGCCAACGAGCTAGTTTTCCTGATCTTTCTTAGCTCTGGAGGCTGCTCCTGACGACAAGAACAGGATAAAGAACGTGCTTTGTTTCCCTCCAGCCCAAACCACGATCGACACAGAATGTGGCCCCATGTTCTGTGATTCAAGCTTTGTGTCCAGTGTCTGTCTGTCCCGCTCGCTCTGTTTTCCTTTCCTCAAGCTCTGATCTCTAAGCCCCGGCTTTCCTACACCACTCTGTGTTGCCAGTCGGCTTGGCCTCATCTTTGCCGTGCACTGCACCTTGGGAATGCAGGCCCAGGAGTCTGTCTCCAGCTGCATCGGTCCGTCAGCTCCTGTGCCTTTTCGCGGAGGCTCTTCAAGGTCTCCTAGCTTGGCGAGATGGTTACACCAGCTACAGACGCGAACGCGCGGCAGGCTGCGCACTCTACTTGTTCAGCTTCTGGCAGTTCGAAAGGATCACCAGGATCCATTGTGCGGAGGATACTACTACACGGGCAGCTTCGTCATAGCGAAGGCATGTCTGTGAGCATGTCACTCTCTGGGTGATGCTGCACGACTCCAGCTTTCGAGAAGCGTGTGTCATCGAGTTGCTTGGGATTAGAGCTAATGGCCCACTGCAGTCAGGTGGTCGTTGATGCTATCCTCCTCAGAGCTGAAGTCCCGGTTCTGTCCTTGAGGGAGAGCTCCGTCAGAGACCACATTTTGAGGTGGGGCCTCCTGCCCTCATGTGTTTGGAAGCTCAGTGAAAAGACATGCGGAACGGATCGCATGATGGCAACCCTTATTCCCAAGGCATACTTGTATACCTCCTGGCCGGCATGCACCCGGGGAGAGAGGCATGGTGGAGCCCGGTGAACCCGTTGAGTTGGAGGACGCTGCAGTTTTGCGCATCGTCGCAGGCTGTTTGCTGCTTAGGCTTTTGCCTGGCGTCTTTCGTCCGAGCCTCATTGCGTTGCTCTCGCATTGGCAACTGTTTAATGGTTTGTTTCCATCACTGATCCGCGCGTTCTCGTGGTTAAGGTCTCATCTACTTTCTGCCGGCTGCCTTAGACCGCAGAGGGCACTGCACTTCCATTATGCAAACACAGTTGTTTTTAATTTATGTCAAATATGTGTCGTGTGCGACTGAGCTCGGATCATAATGTTGGCATTGCAGACTTTGTGCGCATGACAGAAAATCTTGGAAACGTCAGTGCATCCACAATTGCTGATGCTGTGACGGAGGGCAGCGCTCATGAATGTCAATCGCACAATGATGCGAGTGACTTGTGTTTCAGCACGATCCTCCATGCAGACATTCAATGTCAGCCTCCACTGCGGTCATACGACTCGAGCTATGCACACACAACATAACAGATCTGCAGTCTGCGTCAGCTCTGACAGCTGCCTGCGGCCGATTTTTATAGAAGCCGAGAGAAGAGAGGGCAGCGAGGCAGCGGCGAGCCTTCGGTTGCCCAGATTGGTCCAAGGTCCTCAAGTTTCCACTCCTGCACTTGTCAGTGTTGTGAAAATGAGTGTAAAGGAAGGACACCGCCTTCACTCGTGTGCACCGGAAGAAGAGAGAGACCTCCACTCCGTCTCTGTGTTTGTGGACTTTTAGATTTTGGACACGGCAGCGATACGATGGAGAAGACTCACTTCCTTCGATCTTATTCCCAACGTGCGCGCAAAGTTTAGGGTTACGCCTATCGGAAAATGCCATAAATCCCCTTGCTTTGTGAATGAAGTCTTGTAAATTTCTGCAGCTTCAGCTGTTGCATCCTGGTCCTGGAGCTGCAAGATGCAAAGGCCTTGCATTGGGAGCTACTGCTCCGAGATCCGGAGTGGTGCGGCAGCCATGCTTTGTGAGGTGCGCCTCTGCATGCGGAGAAAGGGCTGACTATGCAAAGGTACTTCCCCTGGCAGTGCTGCTGATCCTGATTTTCTTGCTGGCTTGCCTGCCACGCTTCGAAGCTTGGGGAGTGGGGCCGGATGTTTAGAGGGAAGATGTCTGATGAAAGAATGTTCGACGGTGGTTAAAAATGCTGAGTGCGGATGTAACAGTGTAGAAACACCGGAACTGTCAAAAGCGTTACCCTCCCCAGTTTGGTGGACCACTGCTGGCTTCCGGTGACGATGCTGGCTCCCCAGAGTCCACAGCTAGAGCAAGAATTTACTTGTGTGCAGCCGAGGTGCTTCGGAACATCTCGATTTTCAGGGCATCTTTTAACATGCTGGCCGCCAACGAGTTGCGAGGCCTCGACTTCGTGACATGGCCTCAGAGATTTTGAGGCCATTTGTGGCCCAAGGCTTTCAGGGAAAGGGCCGTCGGGCTGTGACACGGCTTTCTGAGGTTCGATCCCGAGGGTGTGTCCACCACGCTGGGCAGCCGTTCTGGCGAGGCAAGACACAGGTTTCTGCTCTTCATTCAGCACCCGAAAAGACGGCAGAGGATTGGATGACGGATTTGGGCATCAAGGACAACCCCATCGGCGAGGAAGTGGGTGATGCCCTGAGACTTGGGGGCAGAGCCCCTTTTCACTATCTCCTGGCTGAGGTTGGCTCCTGGGTTGGTCCTTCTTTTACATTCTGGTCGCTTGGGCGGTGCTGGCTGCACGATCAGCCTCACACCCAGTGTAGCACAGCATGGGTCAGGACTGCTCCAAAGGTCTGTGTCTCCTTCTGACGCCGAGCTTGTGAGGTCACTTCTTCCGATTTCTCGCTGCTCTCGCTTTTCTGGCGCAGTGTCGCTTGCTGGCAGTAACTGCCATGCCAGGCAAATCGGAATCACAAAAGCAAGTCCTCCTGTCCCAGGGAAAGGCGACCATGTCTGCCGAGCAGTCACATGGAAAGCAGCTAGGACACTGGGGAATGCAACAGCCTGCCAGCTTGACCTAGACTTAAAGGTTTTGATTTATGTGCAGAACTGTAAACAAGGACGTCGGAGAAGCACTGCAAGCGAATGAATGGCAGCACGGCAAGATTTTATCTCTTCGCACATCCATGGACTGCCGCTGAGCTCGTCTCGGAGGGTCAGTCAACAGTGTACAGTTGAGCACAGGGCGCTGGATTTGTTGTTCCTCTGGTTGCCGTCGCGCTGGCGCGTCAGCTGACGTGTCAGCACAGACGCTTGAACTGCTTCGCATACCCAATGCAGAGCACTTCGCGCAGTCTGCACGAACCAAGTTTTCGGGAGCAGGTATCCTTTGGGATCTGCAGATAACGACCTGACTCAGAGTCTGAAAGAATCTGACCTGTTAATAGCCTTGGGGCGTCATCGCCGCTCCAAGGAAGTATTAGTCCGGCACATTTTTCATGGCGGAAGCGAAGCTCGCGACGTGGACAACTTGAAGGTATCCACTCTTCGACCTGCCGAAGCGGCATTTGCTTGAGGTCCGCTTCCGGTGCGTTGGCCTTGGCTCTTCGCAAAGCGATCAGCACATGGGCATGCCTCGAGCCGCAAGACACGGCTACGCAAGTGCCACAGTCTGAACCTTTTTGTTTTGACAGATCAGAGGACGACGCCAGAGGCGTTGTTGGCCAAATCGTGATCGAAGAAACACTCCCACTGAGGGGACGTGCTCAGCGCTGGCATGAGGTTGGATTCTACATTCCCAAGATGTAATCAACGAAGCTGACACTGGGTTTTTGCGATGAGAGCCGGGTCCCTGCCTACTGAGGGTCCTGAAGAAGTTGAGGATTTGTGCACCAGTAGCAGGTCAGGATTATCTCTACTGCGCAAACCCCACTTTGAGGCGCTTCTTCGTGGGAACCTCGATACAATTGTCTCCAAGCAGGTCAGATGGCTTCCGGTCGAGCCTCTCTCGCACAAGCCTAGGGTGCATGTGTGTACCAGCTTTCCGGAAGGGTGTGGCGTGAACAGTCGGCCTTGCCATGGTAGCCGGATGCAACGCTTCAGGGTTTTGGAAGCTTTGAGTGCTGGAAGAATACAATTCCCCACATTTTGCAAGCCTCAGCGAGGCGTTCAGGCGGCTTGAAGCAGCGGTTCATCATCGATAAAGCTTCAGCGGCTGTCCTGCAAAAAGACAAGAAACCGATAGCCAATGCCTAACGCATGGTCTATCGATTGCCGATCAGCCCCTTCACGCCTGTTCAGATAGCAATAGCACAGAATGGCGCCGTCGCCATGGCTGAGCCTGCTAACTCCATCCCTAGCGGCATTGGCCGGGGTTGCGCTGGGCATCTTCCTGGAGCGTTCCCGCCGCGCGAAGGGAAGCCGGCAGTCCTCACGGGATGTTGTGAACTCGGGCGAAGATCTTCGGGTGGAGCGCGGGGAACTGGAGGCAGCTGTGGCTGCTTGCTTGGAGGCAGCCGGGGCCCCTAAGCCCAAAGCCAACCTGGTGGCCCGAGTCCTGGTGGCTGCAGATTGCCGTGGCATCCCATCTCATGGGGTCAACCGCACAGAGATGTACTGTGGAGAACTGCGGGCAGGACTCAGCCGGTATATGTCTGGCCGTACTGCTGAACTCACTTTTCCTTTGCTGTTTCAGCGCAGGACTTATCAACCCGGATGCGATGCCCCGTCTCTCTTCGGAGACGGTGAGCACTGCCAATGTAGATGGGCTGAACGGTTTGGGCGCAGTTGTCTCGGAATTTGCCATGCAACTCTGCATACGCAAAGCAAAGGCTTCAGGCATAGGCCTTGTGGTGTGCCACAACAGCAACCATTTTGGAATTGCAGGGTTCTGGTCCGAGCTTGCGTTGAAAGAAGGTCTGATTGGCTTCGCATTCACGAACACGAGTCCTTTCTTGGTCCCAACTCGCGCATGCCGACGTGCAGGGGGAACAAATCCAATCTCCTGCTACTGTCCTGGCACACGTGATAGTTTTCAGTTGGATATGGCAACTTCAACAGTGCCAGTGGGGAAAATTGAAGTTTGCCATCGCAAGGAGCAGGAAATTCCACCTGGCTGGGGAGTGGACAGAGCTGGGGCTCCAACAAACAACCCGACTGAGGTGCTTGCCGGTGGAGGCTTGACTCCCGTCGGGGGCCATGAGGAAACTGCTGGGTACAAAGGCTATGGCTTGAACATGATGGTTGAGATCCTTTGTGCGGTTTTGAGCGGCTGCAAAGATGTCGGTCCAGATGTTCCGCCCTGGAGAGTGGATCGAGGCCGGCCTGTGGACTATGGACACTGCTTCATGTGCATTGACCCAGAAAAGATTCTACCAGAAGGTGAGTTTCAGGCCAAGCTCAGTGCTTATTTGGCTCGGATGCGCGGCCTCTCCGCAGCTGATGCCGCACTGCCCGTGCTGGTCCCTGGTGACCCAGAGAGCGCGGAAGAGCTGGCAGCCGAGAAGCATGGGGTCCGACTCAACATCCAGGTGGCGCAGGGTCTGCGCAACCTTTCTCAAGACTTGGGATGCTTGCAGACCATGCCAGCACCGATCCGGGACCTGCCACAGAACGTGATGGCACCAAGGCACCCTCACACAGTTTAGCCAAAAAGTATGCAAGCTGGAGTTGGGGATCCGTGTTTCTTTCGTTTGGCATGAGCACTGGCAATGGACTTTGCACCGCGCGGCCCGACTGGTCAGAATCACGCGACCATAAACTGCTGCTGCAAGAACCCACCGCTAGTACCAGAATGCCATCTATACCTCGCAGCCAATGTCAGAATGGGCAGCATGCAGTATAAGCTAGGCTGGTCGTAGAGCACGGAGAAAGTATGCAGACAGTGTCAAAAGATGTTTGGATCCTGCTTCATCCACAGGGATAAATGCAGCGTGCGCTGTTGCTGCTATGGTTCTCCGCCACAAGCGTGGAGACGACCTTGCCAGCGACGGATGTTGATGCAGCTCTGCGCGAGGACTACCAAGAATTCAGATCTCTGCCTTTGATCATACGCGAACAGAATACCGGGAGCCAACCCTTGGACAAGAGCCGATCAGGAGTTCGACAAGGAGAGCTGCCCCGGTGCTGCGGGCGAAGCCTCGTGGTTGCAGCGCAGCGCTCGTCGCAAGAGTCTCCAGGCAGGGCTGGTGCTAGTGCTGTCTGGCCAGATGCGATGTTACTCGTAGGAGCTGCACGAGGGCTCGGAGACTCGTCAGAATGCCTCAGTGGCCCTCAGCGAGGACAAGCAGTACTGCGACTCGCACACGGGTGTCCTGCAGCAATGGCTCACAAAATGGGGTTCCATGATTCGCCCGGGGATGTTGAGATGTTTCACCAACAGTTCGTGACAGCAAGTGTTTTCAGAGGTGTGTTTGCGGGTTATTGCTGTGAGCCGAGGTGGAAGCTGTCGCTTCTGGAGCTGCTCAGCATCTCGCGGCCCCACTATGTGTACCGCCTACCAATGTCTCTGCAAGCCCGGATTCTGCGCTGTTGACGGCGTTTGCAAGGAGCGTACAGCTCACGCTGTGGACACGTGCGGCAGGCAAACAGGAGGAAGCTGTACACTGTGGGGATGCGCCTCCTATCGTGGGCCAGTGGACTGCGTGAACCAGGAATGTGTTTGCAAAGAAGGATATTGCAGCGCCGGCGATGGCACTTGCAAGAAGCCCAAGCCAGCGATCAAAGCTCGCGTAGCGGCTGTGAACTCCAGACAGCCTTTCTTCCCAGACTCCCAGGCACCTTCCCAGCTTGGCTCATGCTTTTGATTTTGAACAAGCCCTACAGACGCTAGACCTAAGGCCCAGCTCTTCTGCTAAAAACCTCTCAGACTCAGGCCCAATTGCGAACTGGAATTTGCTTCAGTGGCGGGGGCTCCCGCGCGCTCTCTGTGACCCTCGGAGTGCTCCGTGCTTTGGAGAGCTTGCAGCTCATTCCTCACATTGACGCTATCTCAAGTGTTTCCGGTGGAACATGGGCGTCTTCCATCTACATGTTTGCAAAGGATGTCTCGGTCAAGGATGATGGGGATGAAACCTGGTTAGACGCATGCTTCGTGTTGAGACATCTTAAGGCTCAAGCCAGCTTGGAAACTGTTGTGCAGGAGTTGCTTGGGGAGGACACGGTTCCGAATGACTTGACCATGGACCGCCTAGAAAGTGAACCTCCACGACTCGGCGAAGCTTGGGAGGGAAAAAGTCGATCGTGTAGTGTTTGTTCATGTTCAGAAGGAAGCTACATCGGCGATTAATGCAGCTTGCAGAAGTAAGGATGTCGCTACCACCAGCATCAACATCTTCTGGACCATCGTGGGCAAGTGGGTGCTGCTCTTGTTTCAGAGCTTGTGTCAGCTCGTTGGAGCGCGCCTGCTCACAAGGCACATGGGAAGTCGAATCCACGCGATATGTGGATTGACGTCTATGCCAAAACCGTCCTCGAGCCTTTCGGCCTGGCAAATAGGCCGGTCGGTCACGAGCTGGGGCTCGGGTTCCTGCAGCTTTATGATCAAAGCGCGCAGGAGCCAGTTCATGGCCGCAGATGAGGCGAGTTTGCAGCGAATCCTCGCTGAAAACCCAAGCCTACAGCGGGAGCAGTTTCTGGTTGGGAGCCAAGCTTGCTGCAGAGGTGAATCGAGTCTGCTCTGCATCTGTCTGTCAGATCCCGAACCCGCTGCGTCCAAAGACGTTGCGGCCTTAAAACTTCCGAGTGTGCGAGCTGAGCAGGAGCAGCATTGCCAGGTATATCATGGGTGGGACTCTTCTCGCACCGGTTGGCTTGGAAGCCACGGAGAGGAGTGCCGTGTTGGCGGCTGAGGTTCTGACGAGAATTGCATCCGTCGCGCCGCCTGACAAAACGTCGCAAGCGCCTGCTGCAAGGAATCTGCAGATGTCTCCGGACTACACTGGCTCTCCATTCTATCCGGAGGAGCTCGCAAGAAATGAAGCTGCTCGCATGTGGAAGTTACCACGTCCAACTATGACAGCTACTAGCTCCCCGCTGAACGAGAGTGGCACGAGGCAAGCTCGGGCGGGTTCCATCTCTGCCACAGGACAAGGTTGTCTCCTACGACGGCAAGGATACTCGGGAGTTTCTGCTCGGTGGTGGCTTGGTCGTGCCCAACTCAAATCGGGGGCGGAAGTTCTGCGCGCTTACAGTGTGACTACATTTCTTATCCCTGGATTTTCTTTCGGAGATCGCCTTCTAGGAGAGCTTTGCCTTCGGTGGCTCTGCGCCCATCTCCGCCACGAGCCAAGCATGTGCAAAGCAGCTCCGTTCTTGGACTCGACCGCTTTGAACCGTTCAGGAAAATGGGCAGATGGGAGGAAGCCAAGTTAGCATGGAGGCTTGTTTCTTGTGGAGCACATAGGAGACCTGTTACTAGGTTTGGTACCGGAGAGTTGTCTGGGAGGCACCGCCGTCGGCATTCAGCCTGGCTGATGCAGTCGGGATCAGCAGCGCAGCCTTTGCATCAGTGCTGGTGACTGCAACTTGGCCGCTCTACGATCTCGCTGACAGAAGGAACCCTTTTTTCGCAAGGACGCCATGTCACACCTGCTTTAATTAACTTGAACGACAGGCTTCTGGCTGGATGCACCTCTTCGCGCAACACGCACCTCCGGCACGTGCGTGCTCTTTCTTTGCGAGTAACATGCAGTGCTTCTGAGGCCCAAGAATACCTTCCGACCAGAGACTACTGGCCAGTGACATCCGCCCTCTTCAAAGAGCGGAGGAATGCCAGGGTCTTCTCTTTAAGTCCACTATGTCGTGCAAACCTGCGGAGGCCGGCCATGAAGCACGTGTTGGGTGCCCGGCCCTCGGGCCGTTTCTCGGAGCAGCGCCTGTCATCCCAGATCGTGGTACTCGTACCAATGCAGGATGGCGCGGAGACAGACAACACTGGCATGCCGCTCGACTCAATTGAAGCGTAGAGTGTGGCTTGTGTGAGCGATCCTGCCCCGAGGATGGCGCTGCTGCAGCGGAGGGCAACCAAAATTGTTGTCGTTCACAACACCAATGTGGAGCTCTCGGAGGACTTCCGACAGCAGTTTGACGATGGAATCAGTGCGGAGAGAGATGCTTCACTTTGCCACAAGGAAATAGATTTCTGTGGAAGTTTATTTGACATCACACAGCTCGCTCTTCACGGCAAAGTGTGCCTGCCATGCTTAGCCTGACCGAACCAGAGGATGAAAAAAACATGGCCTGGCCGCAGGTATCGAATGACTTGCTCGACAAGTTCGGGTGCCCTCCTCAGCCGTTTCGGGAACAGGCACGCCATCTTGATCAGTCCTGTAAAGAATGCCGAGCACTCCGGCCGAGCACCGCGGTTTTGGCAAAAGAATCAGCTGCAGACATCAGCGAGATCTCCCGTGCACCAGCCACGGCAACCGATAGTCATCTTGCAGACACCCAGGGACTGCTGTGCATGCCAGGCGTAATACCCAAGAACTCAGTACAGAGCTTTCCATTGTTATTGTCGCAAGCCATGTATGGTGAGGATTATGGATACCTATGTAACTGTTTTTCATTGTCACTGCTTCTTGCACCATTGTGTTCAGGTCTGGGAATCTGGAGTTGTAGTAGTAGAGAACCGGTCACCATAAGAAGGCATGTTGTGTCTCCCGACTCGTGATTCGTCAGCTGCTGATGGAGAGGGGATGTTCGCATACCCTTGTATCTCATCTCCAGCAGCTGCAGGTACATTGCTGAAAATCCAGGCGAGTATTTGGTTCACAACCAGGCCGGACACTTTTCTGAAGTGCCCAAAGCATGCGACTGCATGTGTGTCGGAATCTATCATGGTAGTTGATGCTTGGCGCCATCAGGCATGACGGCCTGGCAAGGCATTGTGGTTTGTAAGTCCCTTCGGCGTTGATTGCACGTGCAGGTTTTCAATCGCAACGAGCTGCAGCCCCTCCTGTGTGAGTTCCAGCTGCTCGACACGCTATATCGTTTCACCACGACCCATCCTGCATTTCTAGCCGGAACCTAAGGAAGAAGCGGAAATCTGGCGATGCATTGGTGGTGGAGCGGCAGCTGCAGGCACTAAGTGTCAGGTGCAGTGCGACCCGCCTTGCTGTCCTCAAAAAGGTGCTGGAGAACAAGAAGTGGGGCATACAAGGGAATTGGAAAGCGCCGCTTTTCAGCAGTGGAGCTTGCAGCGTCGTTCACCGTTCCTTCGGCCCCAGGTCCGTGATTTTTGTTTATCTGAACAGCTGCAAACGCTTCGACGTGAACCTGCCACCGGAGACTTTGCAGGACAGGGCATTATTAGCCACTGCTCATAGCCTTGGGGCCCAATGCGTTTGCCTTGTAGGAGGTGCAGAAGGGCAGTCCCATCCCCAGCTGAGTTCCTTCTTCGGGTGTTGCAGCTTGCATGGAAGACAGAGGTGGGGGCAAGTTTGCACACTGGCCGCACTTCAAGACGCCCCTTCCTGAACTCGTTCGGAACCCCAGTGAAAGTCATTCAAGTTCAATGCGCAGCTTTAGGTCAAACCAAAATTCCGGGAAGTTCACGACGTACACGAACGAGCAGGCAGGACAGTCAGGACAGCTAGTCTGCAGGCATCTGTGTCGCCAGACTCGGTTCACAGCGTTCACGCCTTGTACAGTGTCCAGGTAAATCTTTTGTCCGCGTTTGGAGAGTACATGATCCGCCAACACCTTGGTAGTTCACACGAGTAAATGTCGTGCCAGCTCGTTTCTGTCTGGACTCCACGAGAGTGCGCAACGCTCTACCGACCTGAGGTTCCAACGAAGACATGTTCATGCGGTTCTTTCGCTCCTGACGCAATGCGTGGAGCTTACCAGCTCTTCCAGAAAGTGCAAAGCTTGCTTCTGGCTCTCCGGTCGGCGGAGCCTGAGCCAGAGTTCAGAGGCACCCCCTCGAAAGCACGCTGAGTACTGGCTCAGGGTGAGATTTGCGGAGCTGGAGATCCCCAGTACGCTTGTATCTTGGTTCTTCTTGCGCAGATCTTGGCCCAGGTTATTCCAGCGACAAACGCTGATCGTGACATTCGAAAAAGGTGCGCTGGCATAGTGTTTGGACCGACTGCCCGATTTCTATCGGTGTAGCTTGCGCGGTTGACAAGCGCCTGTGCACCTCCTTTGGCTTTGCAGCTCAACTCACGCCAAAAGCGCTTGACTGTACACATGCTGGCTGCATGCTTGAGGCAACATCGGAGCAACGATCACGCCAAAGGCTTTTCTAACAAGCGAAAGAACTGCGATCCAGGCTTGAGGACACCAACTATGCTGAATTTTGGAAGACATCCTGGGCAAGATATCACCAAGACAAACTTGGATGTCTAGTTTCCTGTTGCTAAACGTGGGAGATACAGTTGAACACGATTTGCAACAAGATTAGGCCTGTCTACAACAGACCACAGCCAGCTTAGCTTTGCTCGTTCTCTCCTGCACTATGTGCCGCTGGACTATCATTGTTCTGTGCTTTGCGCACATCGTGGGGCAGGATATTCTCGATTTTGACGATGCGTGCCACAAGAGCAGCGCTATCGAATGTTCTGCGTCCTGGCTGCAACGACGCGCCCATCGAGTCCAAGAAAACTCTCCGGCCCATGCCCACGAGCTGGCAATGGAGGAACACTCGAAAACAGTATCGGCTGCACATGCGTCGGAAGAGATGTCTGTGAAATCCATGACCGTGGTGAACTCCAGCACGAGCTTTTGCGACACCCACACGGGAGGCAGTTGCAAATACTTAAGCTGCAGCTCATCTCGAGGCCCAACTCAGTGTGTTGAGGGGCACTGTCGATGTCAACCTGGCTACTGCGCTGTCGGGGGGAACTGTGTACCCAACGATCATTCCCACAACTTTCTGCAGTGTCCGCAACGCACCGGTGGCACCTGCAGCTGGTTTGGATACTGCTGGAAGTATCGAGGCCCTACTCGATGCGTCAGTGGTGAGTGCATGTGTCAGCCGGGTTTCTTGGAGTCTTCTAGAAAGGTATCCGTAAAACGAAGAGGAAGCATTTGAGACGCTCATTTTTGCTTGGTTTCGGGTCTTCAGGCTTCCTAGTCCTAGCGCCTGCTCTCCGAACGCAGCATAGGCAGCTGTTACAAAGTGCCGTAAGGCAGAAAGTGCTGCGCACAGCGGAGAGATGAGCCAAGGTTATTGTTCAGACGATGATGGACGGTGTCACAAGAAGTTGCCAGATGTTTTCGCAGACATCGTTCCAATCAACGACGAGAAGAAAGAGTTCCCACCCAGACAGGCCGGACCAGGGATCGTCACAGCTTGATGCTTCATCTTGTCGCGATGAAAGGCGAATCTGCAGACGGCTGTCTGCCTGAGCGGTGGTGGCACCAGGGCAATGGTGGCTGCGCTGGGTGCTCTGAGGGGCCTGGAGTACCTGGACTTATTGGGCCGCACGGACCTTCTGGTCTCGGTGTCTGGTGGCACATGGACCTCGGGACCCTTCATGTGGCGAAGCGGCAAGAATCTCTTGGATTTCTGATGCTCTGCCGCACTGTCCCGCACTGTCGCCCGTGGCAGGTTCTCGCACATGAGCAAGGGCCATCTCCTTGGATCCCCCACGCGACCCTCGGAGCTCTCCCTCGAGGAGCGCGGTCTCCTGAGCTAGGCCGCTGGGCTCTGAGAGCTCTATTTGGAGGAGCTGACGACGCGGCCAGGGTTGATAGGCGTCCTCGCCTCAGTTTGAATCAACCCAAACATTCAGAGATGTTCAGCAGAACATTAGGACGGGGCGACTCACGACATCTACCGCTGCAGCCCCGCAGACTTTCCGATATCATGAATAGCATAGTTCCGCCCGCTGAGACCTGCTCAAGACTGCGTTTCTCAACAACGACGACCCGCACTCGATTTGGGTGAATGCATTCAACGAGGCTCCGCTTCAAACAACGGGTTGTAAGGACTACTGCTGCAAGCATCCCGGGCCCTCGGGATTCTTGCTGGGTTGCCTTTGGCAGATCCTCTTGAAGCCCATTGGCCTGGGCAACATGAGCAAGTACCCGTTTGCCTGCAAAGACTTCGACTGCCAAGTTTTGTCAGTCCTTTTGGCATGCTGATAGAGACCTTCGACGGAGGTACATGGCTCCGGATGACAGCACCGTCCAGCGCATCATTCGCAAGAATCCTCACTTGCAGCGCGAGGATGTTGGGATGTGCAGCACATGGCAGTGCCCGCCTTGTCCGATCGCCGGCATCAGGACTTCATTGTCCCACCGTCTGATCGGCCGCGTGCCTTCGTCATGCTACTAGGCTGCAAGTCGGCCGGCGGCTACTCGCTGCAACCTCCTGAGAGCCAACCAGGCTTGGAGTTCTGCTCGCTCCCTTGGGACACGAATCCGATGATGATACAGTCGTGCCGTGCGCTCGGACTTGAAATCGAGCCTTTGGAAGAGCGTAGGCTTAGGCCCTCACGTTGCTGCCTGCGAAGGTCTTTGCAGATGTCTCCAGACTTCTCCGGCAGCCCTTTCTATCCTGGCGACCTACTCGGAGAAGCGAAAGGAGCTTGCTCTGTGTGTCTGTGCGTGTTTTTCAGAGCTCAGGACGGGAAGGCCAGCTGCAGTTTGACGAAGAGGGCGAGCACTGGCTCGCCAGCTCCGATATTCCTGCTCTCAAGTTGGCCGAGACCTTGGCTCCCGTCACCCTGTGGAGGTTTGAGGGAGTTCGAGCTGAGGTTGTGGGAGGCGGCATGGTGGAGACCTTCGCGTTCGGTTCCGACACGCCCTTTTCGGACCAATCTGGAGGCCGAAACCCCCCCCCCCCCCCCCCCCTGCCTCGTTGTAGGGCCATGGGGCCGATTCTTTGGGTCACACCTAGGGCACGGCGTGAGAATGCCGTCGCCGTCGGAGCCCCTGAGCTTGGCGAAGGCACAGGGCGGGAGCTCTCTCATAGACTTGTTCAAAGGATGCGTCAGTCCGCGGAATAGAGGCCGTGGGGGTGAGCAGCGCTGCGTTTTCGGCCTACACCTCGCAAGCCATGGACAAGTTGGGAGGGCAGAGAATGCAGGCCCCGAGCCTCCGTCTCGAAGCGAGACAAAGTGACTTCAGAGAGCGAGGCCTTGATACCGGTTGCAACGCTTTGGCCGATAACTTCCAAGAAGTTTCCTGGTCCCAAGGCCGGAATTTGCTGGGAAGCGCGTCTTTATTGCAGCCTAGCCTCCCATAGCATTGGAGGCAGCTGCGAAGTTCAAGATCGGCGATGGAGGCCACATGGACAACTCTGGGCTGATGCCGGCACTGCAGCGGAAGGCCTGAGACCCTTTCATCGCAGCTTTGACACATCTTGCCCAGATGTTGGCACAGGTGCCTAGGATTGTGATGTTCCTGAACACCGATGTGAAGATTGGCATGAAGTCGGAGCGGGCTTTCTGTTTCTTCCTTTCGTGATCTCGTTTCGGGGTTGTTCGTAACCTCTTGGTTGGCTCTCGCTCCCTCAGGACTTCTGCGCTTACACTCCAGTGCAGGATTCTCGGAGGTTTATCTTGCAAGGGCTCATGCTACATGCACTATGACTGGCAGGGGTGCAGGGGAACTCGGATCAGCAGCAACTCAGCAGCACGTCGTCCGCTCGATGCAGATCCGTCCTAGTGTCATGTAGATCCTCAGGCTGCGTGGTACTTCGTGGACAAATTCGGACTCGGAGCCCATGTGGACGGGTCGTTTCTGATGCATAACCAGGCATGACCGCTGCCCGCGGCACCTCTCAGCACCCAACGAGCTCTACAGATGCTCTGGCCAGGTGTTTCGTTTCAAAGACCTGCAGCCAATCCTCTGTGACCTTCAGACGCATAGGTGCATGCTTGCGCTGCTGCGAACGAGAGCGCTGAAAGCTGCGAGTCGAGGCGCGCCGGCCGACCGGCCGTCAGCCTCAGAGAATTGGAGGTGCTCAAGAACAGCTGGTCTGGGCCTTAGACGCTGCCATGCGGTGTGCTGAAGAGCCAGCGTCGCAGCATCGCATTTGCACCTTGGGCCCGCCACAACAGCCCGGGCATTCGTTGGCTGCCGTTTCGCATTCGGGCATGTAATTATTCTGAAAAACTGCTCGCCTGCCTGTCTGCCAGCCGGTTCAGTGGTTCTGTTGGCAAGTTAGGTTGCCAGGGCCACTTAGGACATAAACGGAGCAGGAAAGTCATTGAAGCCATCAGGCGAAACCTTCGGAATGCTTTGCCACTGCACGTCGAACCTCAGGCCTCTGTGCTTGAGCTGTAGGCTTCGGAAGTTTTGACTTCGAGGCTACTTCTGCCAGGCTCATGAGTCAACATCATGAGATGTGGCAGTTCAGCGATTCTCGAACTGAAAGTCACGCACAGATCGTGTTCGGCTTGTGTTGAGTCGAGTTGTAAGATGGGCGCAACAGAAGGTTGCCGTGGAGTAGCATCGGCACCAGTGTGCACCCGTCTGGTTTGCAAGATCGCCCTTTGATGTTGATCCTCATTTGGAGGTCACCTGAGGGCTGTGGCTCAGGCTTGTACCAACACTACGTCGCTTCGGATATCGGTCGCCAAACGGCTTTTCGTAGCACAGATTGGTCGAACCAGCTGCCATCTGATCGATGTGAGATTCAGTCAGGCAGGTAGGTGAAGATCTCATTTCGCAGGACTGACTGCGACCAGGGGACCAGCGGAGAGTTACACTAGGGTCATTAGGGATGTGGGTGATCATTCTTGCCAACAGCAACAAAGCTCGTGATGCTGAAGCAGTTTGCGAAGCTAGTGACAATGCCACACACTGCCTTGTTTGTGAATCAGCATGTGACAATCAAGTGGAGAATTCCAAGTGCTGTCCAACTACGGCTACGAAAGCCATGCAAAAGCCAGACTGACAAATTCTTGTGCCTTCCGACATCGCCTGTATAATTTGCGATGTATACCAAGTGTGTCATGGGGTATGAGCAAAATGGACATCACCAGGCCTCTTGAGTTATCTAACTGTAGATTCCTGATAAGAGCTCATGTTGGATTGGGGGAATGGGGTATTGTGTTGTGCCTCAAGCGAGACTGTTCTCTTGTAGGTCTCCATCCACACTCGCACAGTATGTTCTCATGCCTCTGGGAAGTTTGGGCCGGCTACATGCATAGCCTTCATAGCTATCATCTCAGGTGGGGCATTGAAGGAGGCCCTGCTGCGGCACAGCTCTCGGAATGTTTCCTTCCTGGCGTTCTCGCCTCGAGGCTGGAAGGTGAAGCTACTAGTCTATCACTTGGACAAGAGCAAAGTCTTCGAGAGCCAGCTTCCTGCGGATACGCAGAAGGCTGGCAAAAGCCCTTCATCGTGATTCTGCCCCATCCATGTCCAGCTGTTCTGTCAGCTGCTGGAGTGAGTTATTACCAGGAGATCGCTGCAGGGAAAGAGGGTATGTTCGCAGCTTCGACGCAATCCATCCTCTGTTCGATGCCAAGCCGACACTTCGCATGTCCGTCCGAGGCCAACTTCCCACAGTTCACAATGGTCCGGCAGAACCCGCGGTCTTTGATTTCCTACACCAGCGCCCAGGCCCACATACCTGCAGGGGTAACTGCGACCTACCTTTCCAGCCCCTAGAGCTCATAAGGCCCCGAACCCTGAATAGATTTAGCTCAGAAAAATGGGTCCTGGCCAGTGTCCCTTTTGCTGCCTTCTCCTTGTCCCAATCCCAACTCACAAAGGATGGCTACACTTTCCTGTTGATTCAAAATTTCGTTCCTACGCAGGACCGCCAGAAATGCAATATATTTCACAAGACTTTGGAGCCAGGAAAGGCCGCCAGACCTACCAAAGAACACCACTCAGTGCCAGACCTGGGAAAATATCCGCCGCGCCGACCCTTGAAGGTCCGATGCTTCACCTCGGACCTGGAAAAGATTTATCTGAAAGCTGTTGGAAGAATGAGGGACGTTTCAAGAGGCCACCAAGGAACTGCTTGGTCGGACCTTTCGGATCTACGGGTAGGAGAGCAAAGATTCCAATCTGCTGTGAGACGTGCCATTGGACAGCAGAAGCAACATTCGAGTGTCGCCTCAACGTTGGCGAAGTCCGATTTGTGCCGCTGTGGGCAGGCATCCCAGCACATCACGGAAATATTGCTGCCGCACATGAAGCGTGTGTCTCCACCCAACAGGATCGACGAATAGAGGAATGATCGCCCAAGGATGGAATGTTTGACAAGGGTTTGAGCCCGGACCAAAATCCGCGTTGTTCTTCCTTGGCCGGTCGTGGCTGAGGAGCTAAGGCTGAAGTTTGCAGAAGTCGACACGAATTAGCAACTAGAGCCTTGCAGGTGAACCTTCTCTCCTCGCTCGTGGAGTCTCCTGGCTTGCAGGAACACAGTGTAGTCACATCGTAGCCAAGCGAAGTGTCTTCCTTGACCCTGCAGATGCTGATCTGCTGGTCCTGGTAGTGCAATTGAAGCTTTCATGCAGCTGTATCTAAGTACCGCAGTGGTTAAGCGTAATATGACAGGAGTGGTCGCCAATGGCTGCAACACTGTAGTGACTGGAGCATTGCAGCATCTGTTTCTCGTATTTATCTGAGCTGAGGTACGGTGTGCGTCAGCATGCTAGCTACTTCCGGGAAGTGCTCGCGGGCATCCCCCGAAATCTCTGGGAACCACAGCCCAGCGCCGGGCTTCGTACTTAAAAGCAGCCAACCTTCAGGTATGGGCTTCAAAAGAAGCCGAGTGACAGATCTATATTGTTTCGCGAACGACGTTGCAAGTTTGGCAGGAGCTATGTTGCGTTGCATGAACTGGAAGGAGTACAGTAAACTCAGTAAGTCCAGCTAGGAACACTTCAGGTTCGAGGCGCTGCACCCACGCGAAGCTGCCCAAGGCACCACGCTCGAACTCATGTGCCCTGAACGGGCGGATCTTCAAAACACATTCCCCGAACTAACTTGGTCTCGGCAGGAGACTCTGAGGAGCTTGCAGACATCCTCCACAGCAGATAGCAGCCGTTGCTCGTGCGGCTTCAGAAGTCGCCATTCCAATTTTTTTTATGTCCAGAGGGGTCAACGAGCTCCAAGCGACCGCTAACATCGTCAAAACGAACGACAAAATTTGCACAGCTACGTGGGAGGGGGGGTTGTAGGGTTGAGAATGCTTGGTCAACCCGTTGTTGGAGCGCAAGCTGGATCAAGTTCTGATCAAGTGATGAATCGAAGCTGTAAGACTTGGTGCACGAACAACCCATCTGCGAACTGACCACATCTGCCCAACGCAAGCCTTCAAGAATGCGAGTCGTTACTTTTCCTGGTTGCTGTGTTCAGCATGCACAGGCCCCACAGAGTGTCAGACTTTGATAGCCGAACAGCCCATGGCCTTGCCGTGCCACCATGGGTGTGGAGGCCCGGGCAGCTGTATTTGCATCAGAGGTAGGTGGCAGACATGGCCTTGGCGTTTGAGCAGGTGGAGACTTGTCAAGCCGGCACCGGCAAGACCTTTCCACAGAAGGGAAATCGCCTGGAAGTGGGAGCCCCGGAAAAGCAACGGGAGTGCTGGGGAAGCATTGATGGCCGACTTCAGGTCCATTATACTGGGACATTGGCCAGCCACCCAGCCACTTGTTGTGCTTGACAGTGCTGTATCAGTCGCTTTCACCATGCAAGAGTTTGCACGGCCTTCCAAGGCCACTGACGGACGAAAGTTTGACTCTTCTCGTGATCGGGGAAAGCCCTTCTCCTTCACTTTGGGTACAGAACCTGCTCAGGCACAGGGACGACCTTACTGCTTCCTTTGAACCCTGCGCTCTTGTTAGGTGATCCGAGGCTGGGAGGAAGGCATGCTGCAGCTGTCGCTTGGGGAAAAAGCAACCCTGCGTATCAGCAGGGGCCCCGGGTTTCTGGGGACCCGCCGTCGGAGCCTCCCCATGCCCACTTGTGCCGTGGAGGCTCGGACTTTGCATATGGCGAATCCGGTTATGGAGATGGCAGTTCCTTGGTGAGTTCAGCTGCGCCCTGCATGCTATTCCTGTCCCAGCTTGAGTGGTTCTGCTCTTGACCTCGTGTTGCTGGCACCAGTACTTGTGTTTGGCCGAAGCGGGGTTGTCCGAAGGCCCCAGGCATCCAGGCATCTCCAGGCATCTCCAGGCAGCCGTAGCCTTGCCACTTCGACGCAGCAGGCGGATTTCGGGAGCACACGGGCACAGACACTTGCACACCCAAACGCGCTGGAGTTAAAGGTTGACGATTTTCTGAAACGATCTGCAAAGAACGATGGCTTCAACGTTTCAGCCGGGAAATGAGCGTCGGCACTTGCGTTCCTTCTCGCAGGTGCCCTTGTCACGAAATGTGAAGCAGCATTTTGCAGTACACAAACCGGCATGTTTGCGAAAGACATCGAAAGAATCGCAACTGCGTCACACTTCGTCCCATCTCCGTCCGAGGCTTGGCCGTTCGCTCTGGGTCTAGGTGGGCCGGAACAGACTTCATTCACTCATGAAAGACATGGAAAGACGTTGAACACATGAAACATGGAAGCTAAACAAGCAAAGACGTGGCCAGCGTTGACTCAGGAATGCAAGCATGCTTGGGGTGAGGGCAGCTGCTGCGGTGTGTCGATGTCACACTGCATAGTACATCATTCACCAGCTTAGGCAAGATCCCTCCGAACGCAGATCTCGTCTTTGATGTGGAGCTGGTTTCTATAAACGGCAAAACGAGGAGTGACTTGGAAAAGTTCGAGGCTGAGCTGAACAAGTGGGCAGCCAAGAGCCTCAGCTCTTGTGAGGGGATGTTTGGGAGGTTTCGGGAATTTGCACGCCCGCTTTCCCGCTGGCACGGTGGGTGCCTCCCACAGCTTTGTCACTGTGCTGACGAAGGAAGCTGGCTGAGTTCGACAGCGACGACAAGCTCAAGGCGAAGTACACGTCCAAAGACGATTATGCTCAATGTTTGAACAGGCAGGGCCAAGAGGTGTTTCACTTGCGTCCTGCTGTGTGGCACTTGCGACGTTATGTGTGTCTTTTCATTGCGACCGCCTGCACAGGAAGTCGGCGAAGCGGCTTCGTCATATCGAAAACACATGAGGTCGATTCGATGGTCATCTCGATATCGGTAGTTAGGTATTGGGATGCGCTCGGATCCTTGACAGCGGCAGGTGCAAAAACATGTCGCGGGTTCCCTTTTCAGCACCAGATGCCCCATGGCGCATGAGCGGCTGCAAGGTCTGGTAGGAGCAATAGCGAGTCTGCAAGTACGAGTGCCAGAGTGTTGTGAGACTTGTTGACAACTCACTCTGTTGTATGGTCATGACATATCAGACCGCTGCAGTGCTGCAGTAGAGTAGAGAGAAGAAGCGCGTAGAGTTCAAGGCTCTTGCGCGGGGCAACACTAAGGAATGATCACAGATTCGATGGTTCACCTGGCTCAAGCATGATTGTGGCATTTGTCGCAGATATCATTCTAGAAATCATGGCAATTGCTGCACCTACACTGGCAGGCAAGCTGCTAGGCTCACGAGTGGCCCTTTAAGCTGGCATTTGGAGACTGGCGCCTCGGAGCTTCCGTCAGAAAGATAGGCTAGGCTGGTTCTTGTCATCGCTTGACCAGGAAGTCCATCATCCTCTGGCAGGCTCTATGGCAGACCTGGCATTCGTGACGATTGAGCAGCCGCCGAGGTCTCCAACTCGCATTGGTCAGGAAAGGGTTAAACTACATTCAGCCAGAGGGGTCTCAAGGCTTCGGCTGGCAGATCTAGGCTTCGACGAGCAGCATCAGACCTCACGGCATGGGGAACATCGACGGGAGCTGCGCTAGACCGCTGGATCATCAGTGGCAACTGCACAAACAAAGGTAAAGGGTTGGCGAGGTTTCGACTCACATGATGCCTAAACTACCTCCAATTGCTTCCACCTCGGTGGCTCGAGCCTCAGCATAAGTAGAGGATCTAGAAATGGCAGATGTTGTAGGTTCCATCCCGGGAATGGCTTTTGAGTGGGAAGCCACGGACATTCTGGTGCAGAGCTGATTCCTTGTACAAAGCAGGGGAGTCAGTGGCTGTAGTGCTCTCTTTGCGTCGGACTCCGGAAGTCCCGGATCCCAAAGCCTTGTCTCTCGACTTGCTAGTCCTCAGAACTCGGTCACCCCAGACCAACGACACGGTACATGACATCTTTCACGGAGCTCAACTCCAAATGCAATGTTTCAGGGCAGCGGCACCGCCACCCGCGGTCGTGGGCACAGCTGCACCAATTGCCGCCGCCTCACAGGCGCGGCTTTTTCTCCTCCCGTGCCTTTTTTTGGCAAGGGCTCATAATTCCGAAAGTCAGTTCGCCGATTGGAACGCGCAGTTGAACATCTGCCTTAAGTCTTTTTCGCTTTTGGGTCAGGCCAACTTCGCCACCAAAGCATCTGTGGCGGCTTTGGCAGGGGTCGCCATCGGCTCCCGTCGCTGGAGGCAACGGGCGTGCCGTCTAAGAAATGTTCCGGCCCCTCCCCGGACGCAACCGCACGGACGAATTGCTTGTCTTTTTCCACCCAGTGATTCTCACATATCCGCCATGTCACATGATTTTGTTCACAAAGTCCTTGATGTCCACAGTCCAAGTGACGAGAATGTGAGCTTGCTTGCACTGCAAAGCTCAGAGCTCCACCACCTCCTGCTGGAACCCGGGCCGGGCACGACAGGCAGCGGCGGGAAGGAAAGCGCCAAGGACAGAAGGTCGTGCGTCAGGCATGCTGGGGTGTTTGGCAGATGTGCCTGACCTGCCTGTTCCCCAAGCCCTCGAGCGTGGTGAAGCCTCCTGGACCCAACGTTGAACGAGCAAGCCCAGTGAAGCAGCACCACCGAAGTGTAACGATATTTAACGATTCCACAGGGCCAGAGCTAGCAACGCATGAAGCGACAGCGAGCGGGGGTGCTGGAATCCGCAGGCGCCCTTGGCTTCAGCCGTTGGTCGTAGACAGAGAATCGTGAGAAAGATTTCACCACCTCTCAGGCTAGACCTCCATACTGCATGTACTCGTAACTGCATGTAGGAACGTACATTTGGAGCACCTCAAACCGCGTCGGCTCGCGGCTCGTGATGGTCCCACCCAGACGCGTCTCTTCGGGCCCCGCCCTGGCCAATGGCTGGCCCAGGCATCTTCAGCTTCTTGGATCTGCCCCCGCCGGAAGAGGAGCCAGCCCCGCAGAACGAATCTCGAGATTCCTCAGATGATAGCCCGGCCATCCGGGATGCGCCCACAGAAAAGGCCGCAAACAGCTTCTTCCCGACAATCAGCACCGCCGGACTGCTCCATGACTCTGACTCAGACGGTGATGGCCTGTATCTTCAGCATCCCGGACAAGTGCCGCAGGATGTATTGGCGGTGGCATGTGAGCCCCCACCGGAGTCATTTCCAGGGCTGCCGACACATGTGGTCCTCAAAGTTCTCTCCATCGAAGGCCTTCCGCTACGCAAGGAAGAGCGGAATGTTCCTGGCAGCAAAGGGCTGGGCTACTTCCTGGAGGGCAAGGACAGGATCGACCGCAGCGGAGCAAACGCCTAAGGGGACAGAGCGCGGAGTTTCAAACTGCTCACCCACATCCAAACGAAAAAGCGAAAAGAGAGAGACCAGGCCTCTGCGGCGATCCTTCCAGAACCACAAAGCCGGCCTCCCAGCAGGCCGACAGCCCCTCGAAACCGAGCCGTAGATTCCTAGACTTCCCTGTTTGAGGCATCGCTGTGCCGAGCCCCGCATCTTTGCGGAGCTTTCGGACGACCACTGGGAGGCGAGAAAGGGTGTAGAGATCAAAGGGCTGCAGTGGTTTTCAAGTGTCTTGAAGATGTGAGGCAGTCTGGGACCGCCCTGGCTTGTGCCTCAGCGGCCGTGTGAAGGCCTCTCAATTCAAGTCATTGTTGAGGTGAAGTGAGGGTAAAGCTCAAGGACGGCCAGGCGGGTGTTTGCTTCGAGCCAGGCCTTACCCGGCATGTTTCGGGCCAGCCCCAGGATTCTGTGGTGGTTGGCAT